CCCCCCCCCCCACCCGTCAGCCCATCTCGCTTGTTCCCCTCGCTCACCTTAAGCAGGAACACCTGTCCCGAGGGGTCGGCCGCCAGCTTGACCAGCACCTCGGAGCACTTCCTCTTCCAGCCATACCGACACCTCACCCCCCTCTTGCTCCTCTTGCGAGTCACCGCCCGAGCAGCGGCCCGCTGGCCGCCCTCCACGCCCATCCCCTCCCACTCCTCCTCGTCCATAAAGAAATCATCACCCTGCAGAAGGCTCGACTTCTTGCGGTCCCGGGCGGTGCGCCGGATGTCGCCGCCCATGCCCTTGACCGGCTCGTAGTTGCCGTCGTTGGGGTCGTCATCGGGGTCCAGCACAGGCTTCGTGATGGCCCTGGTGCGCCCACGGGCCAGCGCCTTCGGACGTGCACGGGGCGGCGGACCAGCAGGGCGCGGTTGAACCTGACAGGGGAGCAAAGCAACAGGAAGCGTCAAGCGGACGTACTTGCATGCCTTAAGGCACTTCTTCAATTCCCCCAGAGTCCCTCGTCATTTTGGCTCACCGCAGGGATTGAAGGCACGGTCATTGCTCTGGCCACTTCAAACGCCACTCCCGCCGTGGCACTGCTCCCACTCACGCCCAAATCGACGGGCAGAGCGCCGGTCACCGACTGTGCCACGCCGAACCTGCCCGAGCGGCCGCTCTTGCCCCTTGCATGCTGACGAACGGACTCCTTGTCCTCAGCGAAGCGGAACGGGGTGCCGTTGAGCTGCTCGGACATCTGAGCGGCCTCCCTGCTGCTGAGCTGGAGGAGTCCCCGCTCGCCGACCAGGTGGGCCTCTGTGAGCTCGAACTTCGACATCGGAAAACAACCAGCAGGCATGAAGAAAGGGAAATGACTGTCGGTTCGGAAAAAAAGCGCAAAGAAGGTTTAGAATCTCCTGTAAACTGCAAGCTCAAGGTAGGGTTGTGCGAGCTAATCGGTAGGGTTTGGGGTTGCCGGGTTTGGTATGGAGATCTGGGCGTCTGCTGCTCGCTGAACCCGACAGTTACTGTCGTCTGCTGGCGAGGAGAGTCCCGGCTGGTCAGGCATTCCATGCACCTGACTCCGATGAGGTCACTTATCCTCTTCCTGGTCGTCAGTTTCACCCATTGCTGCCTGACTGCGGCATTCCAGCCCACTATCAACTCATCGCCTCTCTTCGGCAGCCGTGTTGACAGCCCAGCGGCTCTGCGGCCGCCACAACCGCTGCGGTTTCACCGGTGGCTGCAGTCGGCCGTCCCTCTTGACCAGCAGTCCGCCGAGGGTGATGATCTGTCAAAGCGGCAGAGATTCGCCCTTGCTGTTCAGCGGCGCATGGCGGATTTGCGAGAACAGCGGGCGGAGACCCTCGCCAAGCTGCGAGACTACGGCGTGTCGGCCGTGCTGTGCTATGGTGAGTGAGTGGACACACGCACCACCGCATGCAGATGGACTGGACTGTCTGGGTTTCCCTACCTGTGATCTATCTCACTTATGTGTTGGTGCGTTTGGGTGTACTGTACAGGGGTGTTTGATCTCATCACCTACTCGGGTGCCTTCCTCATCGCTTTGGCGACCTACAGCAAGACGACGGGGGAGGCGCTGACTATCGCCCTGCTGTTCAGCGGCCAGCTGCACTGGAAGGTGTTCCCCACCGTGTTGGGCATGATGTGGCTGTTCAACAACAGCCTCCGCCCTCTGCGCATCTTCGGGGCACTCGCCGGGGCGCCCTACATGGACCGCTATGTCGTCAAGCCGACGCAGCGGAGCATCACGAATCTCAAAGCAAGATACATGCCGCAGAGTGTCGGCGTGGAGACCACACCCACCCCCTCCACGGCGAGTGGCGCCTTGGTGGTTGAGGGCACGACGAGCGAACTCGACATCAGCGGGCGGGTGGTGGACCTGCCTGGGGCGGCGGCGGATGCTGCTGGTGGGACGGTTCGGACTACTACCCCCACCACCCCCACTGTCAGCAGGGTGGAGGAGTGAGATGAGAGGCGCTATCAGTCAGGAGGGGGGCAGGGCAGTACAGTACCCTGGCGTGTGTGTGTGGTAGGGGTCTTGGCTTTTTGGACTTTTGTGTGTGGGCCTACGACAAACAGTGGGTAGTAGTTTCCACTACAGGGAGGGAATGGGGGCTTTTTGCTTGAGCTACCGATGGATGGCACATTTTTGACACCGGGGGGAGCAGCGGGGCGTGTCGGCTGCATGAAGGGGTGCTTGTATGATGCCAGACGGCTTCCGGCAAGCGTTCAGCCAATCCGTGTTTCTCTCTCCTCTACCTGACCCGCCATTTTTCAGGCCATCCCGCCTGAGGAGTGGTTGGTCGGTCGGTCGATGCAGAGACACATGAAATGGCTGGACTGACGGTTTGCTCTGTATAGACACGCACGTCATACTATTATATAATTCGGATGGACGAAGGACAGGGGCATCAATCACCCACCTGTACAGAGTGAGGGTCACTCACTTCACTCACGAACATGACATGACATGAACAACACCCACACACCACCCACCCACACACGCGCACACACATTGTCGGCTTCATATTCACACGTCGGTCCGCACACCAACCACATCACATGGACACACACACATGACATGGAGAAATCTCCCCTCACATGACAATACACCTCCTGCTGCCCCGCCTCCTAGCTATCGTGTCAGCCGTCACCTGAACAAACAAACACCACACCCACCCACACGCATCCACACGCACACACACACACACGGATGCAGGTGAGGTGAGGTGCACTCGTGTGTGTGTGTCGTGTCATCCGTATGTGTGGCATTCATTTACCTCCGGCAGTGTGTTGTCGTTTCTGGGGTGGTTGATGAGCTCCGCCTTGACGGCCCTCTGTGCTACCTCCACCTCGGGCCGCTGCAGCTCTACACCGGCAAGGTCAGCCGCGATGCGATAGAATGTACTCGCTACCTGCAAGGCAAACCAAGCCAGGCAACACGAACCACACCCGTTGGTGCCTGCCTGCAAATGATAGAGTGTGGTCTCTGGTCTCTGGCTGAGTGCAGCGGTAGGTAGGTACTTGGTCGCCTGTTTTGGCCGACACAAAGTAGGACTTCATACTGTGGCACATGGCGAACTGACTTGACGCAGTGACACGGAAATAGCAATTAGCAGTGTGTCTGCCGATAGATATGATGACTGTCTGTCTGCCTGTGTGTCTTAAGATATCGACCTCATTGTGTTTGTCCGTCTTGACGCTGCGCAGGTGCGTCAGGTCCATCTTGTTGCCAACCAACACACACTTACTGCACAAAGCCCAGCCGCCAACACACACACACACACAGGCAGATAGATGCACACCACACACAGGTAGGTAGGTGAAGTGGAAGTGGCCGGCCGCATGTCATGTCATGTGTGCATTAGGTACTGACGGCATGGGTTGGCCCTGGAAGGTCCTCTGCACCAGCGAGAACCAGTCGTCCAAGTTCTGAAACGTCTGGATGTTCGTTATGTCGTACACCAACACCACCTGCACACACACACGGTTTGGCAGAGAGTCGAGCCACAGGGAGAGCCCGTGGGTAGGGTGCCCTGCCTGCGGCGCCTCGCCTTCCTCGCACTGCACTCACTGCGTGTGCGCCGAAGATGTAGTTGCCGATCATTTTGCTGCCGATGGACTGGCCCCCGATGTCCCATATCTGCAGACAAGTGTTGATGTCGTTCTTCAGCACCAACCTCTGATCAATCGATGGACGGATGGAACACACAGCACAGAGTGGACCAGGAAGCTGTGTGAGTGCGTGTGCGTGTGCCTTGATGAAGAAGTCGAGGCCGACGGTCTGCTTGTACGACTTGGAGAACTGGTCCTCCGTGAAGCGCGTCGCCAGCGACGTCTTGCCTACCGCACCATCACCCAGGATGATCACCTGCACACACCACACCTCAGCACACACACAAGCACATCACATCAGGAATGGACAGATCTTGAGGATGTTTCAGTACACCTTGTACTGCAGGTACTCGGGATCTTGGCCCTCTCCCAACACGGCTGTCGAATAGTGCTCAGATTCACCCATGGCAGATGGATGGATGGATTCTGGGATGGCCGATGGATGCTGGCAACGTCCGTAGCTTTCGGGCGGTATCAGGGCCGCCTCCCATCCTCCTGTGGGCCCCAGTGCGATCGCCTCAGGGCCGCTCCTTCTTCGGTACCCACCTTTGCACAGACAATTCCCTTCCTTAAGGGACGTGGCTCTTTGCCTGAAGAACAACCTCGGCTGCCCCTTCTTGCCTGAGCAACGCCCCACCACCATAATGCTCTTCCACAAAGCTCTTGTGGTTGCTGCGGCCGTCCTGTCATTGCAGTTGTCCTTTTTGGCGGCCCCCTCACTCTGCAGCACCGTCGAGGGCGAGTCCAAGAACGAGCACCACCGCGCCAGCCTCAAGATAGACGACGACACGGTGCACATCGGTGACCTGGGTGCCGACTGCACCTACGGCAACCACAGGCTGCGCTGCACTGCCTGGGGCATCCGCACCTACCTCTACACCTCCGTCACGCTGGTCGACGGCGTCATGATGTCGTGTGTCAACGTCAAGGAGCGCACCTCTCGCTGCTACTGGGGGGTGTATGCAGATGAGAAGGAGTGCTGTGCAGCTGAGAGCGACGAGTTCAAGAAGGTGGAGAGCGGCGGCACGTGCGACTGCCCGGGGGACTTCCCCGTCAACGGCAGGTTCGACGGCGAGAGCGAGGCCGTCATCCAGTCACGGCTGCCCATGAAGTGCCTCTACTCATGGGATAAGAACAAGGCACTCCGCGAGTGCGACCCCGACCAGCTACAGCAACGATGGAGATTCGTGCAGGTGGGTACATACGTCATCCCCACAGCACAAGACATCAACCAACCCATGACGGCTTCTGCCGTGTCTGTCTTTGTGTTCAGGAGGATCCCGCAGCGGGCACATACAAGATTGTCAGCGATCAGGGGCGCGAGGCCAGCTGTCTGATCAGCGAGACCAACGCCGTGGACGTCAAGGAGTGCAAAGACGAGGACCACGCCTCCCCCTTCCTATGGCACGTCGCCGACATCCCCACAGCCACCGGCGCCAAGGCCGGCACCGGCTTCTTTCAGATCAAAGCAGACAAGGGCGACAAGTGTCTGCAGGCTGCTGGGGAGAAGGTGCAGCTGCAGGACTGCAGCAGCGAGGAGAGCCAGTGGTGGCTGGTCTTTGACCTGCAGGGGCGCAAGATCAGCGGAATGGAGTCGGAGGTCGAGCTCAAGGGCGCCGCACACAGAGGGGTCCCGCTGCGGGGGGCTGCGGGCTGGGGGGTGGTGCTGGTTGCTCTCGGCCTTTTGGCTGCCGTCTTCTGAGCAAACTCGCTGTCGCTTGGTCATTTGTCTGTGTGTGCGTGTGTCTGAGCGAACTGTCGACTTTGTGTGCTGCTGTTGTTCTGTGGTCTGAGGAATCGCACCGAAAAGGCATGGCATGAAGGCATGGACTCGCTCATGACCATCGATACCTGTAGGTAGGATCGATAGGGATGAGGCAGGCCACAAATGTCTACTGGCTCTCACTAGGCCTGCCTACTACATTACACAACCCACACAGCATCCAGCTACATCCCCTACTAACTTGTGTGCCAAAAGCCAGAGACACAGACAAAACGACACAGGCAGGCAGGCAGCCCTTCCTTATGATGCACTCTGTTTCTTCCCGAGCCGCTTCTTCTTCGTTCGCTTGGCCTTCCTCTTCTCCTCTTCCTCCTGAATGAACAGACAGCAAGGCGACAGACATGCACGTCAAGGCCTTGCGGATGCATGTGTGGCCCACCCACCGCAGCAGCGGCTTTGAGATCGATGGCCTGGTTGCTTACAAAGAGTAGACCTCTGTTCTCCTTGGTTATCCGATGCAACTTGTCACGCGAACCCTGCACACACGCGACAGACAGATCAAGGGTGGGTGTCGTCTCATCGTACAGTCAACCTTCCTTCACCACTCACGCACGCCACGCACCTGCCAAGGCACTTGGCATCCGATGAAAAGCCACGCGGAGCAGACGCCCCCCACCCAGGGAAACATCTTGCCCACAACAGTGAAGACGATGTCGTGGATGTCCAGCTCCACCAACCGCTGGAAGCGCACAGACGTGAGCAGATAGTTCGTCACCTCCGACTTGTCTGCAGGGAGCAGCGAATTAGAGACAGAGACAGGCGATCTGGTTGCTCTTCGTGTGGCGTACTTACTGATTGTGGATAAGTGGAGGGGAAACCCGACGAACGAGTGGTTCGGCCGGCAGGGGAACCTCTTCTGCTCTTTGTACAACCTGCTCTCCTGCGAATACACACACGTACATATACACCACTGTAAGCCTGACTGACCACATGATGTGCAAAGAAAGAACCAAGCGATCGATTGCTTACCCTTTCATAGTACTCGAACCACTTCTGTCTCTCCTCCTGCAGCTGCTCCTTCCTTGTCGCCGGCGGGGGCGCCAGAAACTGAGCACCCATGGCCTCGGGAGACATCCACTCGTTGCCCTGCTGCCCCTCCTCCTCCTCACCCTCAAGCCCCTCCACTCCTGCAGGCGGCGGCTGCAGGTCCATCGAGGGGATGATAGGCGTGTCGCCGAAGTACTCGTGGTTGATCGGGGGAGGCTGGGGGGGCGGGGCGAGGGGTGTGCTGCCTCCTTGTTGAGGGTAGAAGGGTATCTTTGGGTTGGTGGCGTGGAGGGCCTGGAGATTTTGCTGGTAGGCCATTGACATTTGGTTGTAGTCGAAGTCTTGGACGTCATCTTCAACGATGATCGGGTTGCCGTAGGCATCATACTGGTGGGAGAGACAGAGACACACACAGGGGACTGATGGATGGACGGATGGATGGATGGGTGAATGGCATCACTGTTCCATGCATCCGTGAGTGCACTGAATATCTCACCTCCACCAGGCCCTTTTCTTCCTTCTCTCTCAGCTCTCTGGCCTCCTCCCCCTGCACGAGGGTCTCGCCTATCCGTTGCTCCGACTTGACACGATCCTCAGCCTTCGTCCACCCAATGTGGTCCTCGTCCGGACCTGACCACACACGGACATTGACAGAGGATGAACAAATAGCATATCCTGATATGCATGCCTTCCCTTTGCATGCTACCAGGGTCCATGTCGAAGTCAAGAGACATGCGGAACTCCAGGAGGTCGATGTAGTCAAAAAGCCTCAGCCGCAGTGACTCGCTCTCGTCGATAAGCGTCTCCTGGCCCCTCTTGTTGCGCACCAGCTGGATGCTCTCCACCACCTGACGCGCAAGCGCATCCGCCATACGGGAACTGGTGACACACAACAATGGGGAAAGAGGACAATGGTGATGCAGTGTGAGCATGGCATCCAGCCATGTGCCTGTTGGCTGTGGACACACACCATTGGGCTGGCGTGAGTGGCGGCTGGAGGATCAGCTCATTGACGCTGGTGATCGGTGTGGCCGGGGTGGCAAGAAACGCCCTTCCGGTCGGTCAATGAGACATGGGCACGGCACATGGGCTTTCGCTTTCGATCACCTTTTTGTTTGTGTACCTACCTCCATTTCCACTCGTCTTCGAAATCGTATGTGATGACGCCTGGGTTGGCATTCTGCAGGTTGCCCCACAGCTGCTCATGGTTGAAGACCACCTCGACAGTCGAGTACGGCACTGGCACAAATGTCTCCTCGGGGATCAGCAGAAACTGCATTGCATGCGCACGCACACACGAGTTAGTTGATGGGATGCACGACCGTTTGTTGGGGCAATCTGACCTTTTGTGGTGCGATCGGGGGTCTCTCAAGGTGTCGTTGCAGCATCTTGCGGCAGGAGTCTGTGCTGTACTTGTCCTTCTTCTCGCGATCGATCTTGCTCGAACGCTGCACAAACAAACCAAACGCACGGGAAGACAGCAGCACTGCACTGTGTGTCTCCCCCCCGTCTGCTGTATGAAGCTTACTGTCCGTTTGGATCCGACGTCTGGCAGCCACTCCTGATCGAGCTCGTCAAGACTGATCTGATTGACGACAGGCAAACAGGAATGACATATGGAGACAACATCTCGTATATATTCGGCTGCCGGACCATTCACCTTCTGGTCGGGCACCTCGTTGTCCTTCCCGAGGTCATCGTAGACCAACTCATTCGGCTCGGCAGCCAAAAAGTGCATCAGACACGAGACACGGGTCACGAGTCGCTCAGAGCGTGGCATATATCGTCAGCCGGACTGATCGTCTTCCTTACGATTCCTCCCCTCCTCTGGCTGAGCAGCCATGAGGAGTCATAGTACAGCTCATCCTCGAGCGGCTCTATCACAACCGAAGGGCCGTGGCCCCACCTGCAAAAGACGCGGAGGGAGGGAATGGCTGTGGGCGAAGTCAGGTGCGTCTCCGTTGGGTGCCTGGAGGGCAGGTGGAACTTCTCCCGAGTGGTGACTTCCCAGAAGACGGCGAAGCCGTCCTCTTCCCTCGTCATGACCCAGCAATGCTCCTCGCTCCCGCCCTTGATCGTACCTGCACACACACACAGCAGATGAGCAGGCAGCAGCATCCCATCCCCTTGTCAGTCTTACCTTTCCATACGTATGCGTCCATTTTGGCGCCCAGCAATGCAGCACACAGCAGAAGAGCGTGGTCATTCACGCCGCCCTTGCGCGACATGAGCAGGTGTCCGATGTGGCACCATCTGGGGAACTGGCCCGTCCTGAGCTGTCTGGGTGTGTATACGTAGCTGAAGCACCCGACCCAGTGGAACAACTTGGCGTGCGTGTTGATCACCTCGGGCAAAGACAGAGGCGACAGAAACGACGGCAGAGGGTAGATGTTGCGCGTCACCGGGCGCTCCGCGGCAGCATAGAACCTGTGTGTATGAAAAAAGAGAGAGAGATGCGGCTACAAGCATCTATCTGCGCCGCTCACCTTCTATTCGACGGCGCCTTGGGAAACCAAGCCATGTATTTCTTCATCCAGTTACGAAAGTCACGCTCCCACCTGCACACACAGAAATGCATCATAGCCAGCTCATGTCTCCTCTTCTCTGACGCGCCTGCGGTTCAGCGTTTCGATGATGTCGAAGTTCTGCTCTGACGGGGGTATTGGGGTGAAGACGCAGTCGCGTGGCAGGTCGGGGAGGATAAAAAACTCGAATGTAATGGTGCTCTGCGCCTCGTTGAGCACTGCGACGGTGGTGCCGCTCAGCGGCAGCTCCACGGCGCGATACACCCTGACGGGGTAGGGCCGCTCGTATGGGGAGACCTCGAGGTCGACCGTCTCTGCCTCGCTCTCGGCCTCCTCTTCCTCCTCATCTTCACGCTTGAACCTCACTGGCTTGCCCGTCATGCTCGTCTTGGTCATGCCCTCCTCGCCCGAACGCTGATGGACAAAGAAAACGGATGCGTGTGGTGTTCGTCGCTCTCGTCGCCTTTTCATTGTCACTTTGGCTGACTCACGCCAGCGAGTGATCTCATTTCGTAGTCGATGATGGACGAGATGACGGCAAGGGAGACCTCACAGCCGCCCAGAAACTCTCCCAAAGTGTCGTCCTGGTGCCACACCTCAAACATGATGCTCCCCTTGTTCAGCAAATCGAGAGGCAAACACGTCTGCATACCCACCCACCCACACACACACGCAGAGAGAGAGAGAGAGAGAGACGCAAAATGAGGTCACGGACTGGTACGCACCTGAGTTGAGCTCACCTCTCTGAAGTGGCGATCGCTGAGTTCCTTCTTTGGATCGATGAGTCGAATGGGGTAGTAGAAGGTCTGGTTGTATATGGGTCTGCAGGTGTTCTCCTGCACCAGGGCGTTCTGCTGGATGCCGTCCCACATGACCTTCACATACGGGTCAGAGAACCCTGACACACGCCGAGAGACGGAGAGTTAGCGAGACAACAGGCAGGCGGATGGCCTGCCAGCAGGAGTCACTTGTGTTCGTTCACCAGTGCCATAGTTGGCGGCCGGGAGGTTTTGACAAGAGAGAAGCCTGAAAGGGCACACACATCACATCCAGACACATGACATGAAGCACACCGTTTTTCCCGTCCGTCGTTCACTTGATGATGAGATGTCTCGATGTGACATCCAGATTGGTGAGGAGTGAGGCCCCCCGCAGCGGCTGCACCGGCCTGAGTGTGGGGGGCTCCGCCTCAGACACTCCCAGGCTGTGCGTCTGCACCCGGATGTTGCCCATGACGTCACCCTGAGCAAACAGGTGGATCTCTGTCGTCAGCTTCTTCACTGTACCCCTGAACAGAGAAAGAAGGTGCGCGCCATGGTTGTGATTGTGATTTGTGTTGGATGGACGGCTCGTCGCTCACTTGCATATGGGGTAGTCGAGCACTGACGCGTTGCTGAAGAAGCAGACGCCCATCAGGTCTTGTGGCACCTGCCACCCAAAATTGCCGTAGATCTGCCCAGACAGACAGAGACACGTGCGGGTCAGTGGACGAGACCTCACGTGTTGGGTCTTGTTTACTGACTGACCTTGACGGTGAAGTAAGAGTTTTTGAACTCGTTCATAGTCCCAAGAAACTTGAATTTGGCGGGGAATGCCCACCAGTTGATGGAGTCATTCAACACACGCTTGTGCTGCATTGCATCAGCAGATAGATGCCATCCATCATCCGTCTTTCATTTGCGTTGTGTCTCATCCATCAGCCAGCTGCTTCTTTACTCTGAGCTTTTTCTGCTTCGGTCGTGATGGGAAGATGATCTCCAGCGCCTTTGGCAGCTCCTGCCATGGCTTGGGCATGTCGGGGTGGCCAATGAACTGCCAGCTATCAAACGACACTATGAACTCCAACACCTCAGCCAGCTCGCACGTCACCTGATCATATTTGCACGCACACACACACACACACAGAGTTTTCTCTCTGTGTCTTTCTGTATTGCCGATCGACATTGATTGCATCCCTTTAGACACATACACACCTCGAGCAGCACGGCTTCATACGATTTGCGTGTGGGGTCAGCGAGTCGGCGGTGCAGTGCGATCTGCTGGTCGCTGCTGTCGTTGACTATCTCCTGCAATGTCATGGAGCTATCGGCGAAGAGAGTGTTGAAGGTGGAGGGGTTGATCTCCCAGAGGTCGTAGCTGACTTTGTAGTTGGGCAGGTTGGCGTACGACAGCTTGATCTGCTGACGCTTGATCATCGACACTGACGACATACGACAGGGAGGGGAGTGCCGTCATTGCATGTGGTGGTGTCTCACTTGGCACAGGCAGCTGGAGGGGCTCCCCTGGCTTGATGCTGAAGGCGGGAGAGTAGAGCTTCTTCCGACGCAGATACTGTCCACCATTCTTCCGCCTGATTAAGATGGGAACCAACAAAACGACTGGACGCATCGCTGTGTATGTATGTCTCACGGGTTGATGTGTCCGAATGTGATGACCAGGAAGCAGAGAAGCTCCTTGCGATCTAGGTTGAGCAAAGTATTGATATACAGGGCGATCTCCCAGGTCCGAGGACGCTTGTGGGGGTCCTTGAGCACCTTCCGCCGCTCCTCTAACCTCTGATATATATAAGGTGACACACACACGGTCTGCACCTACCCCTCGTCAGCCCTTCTGTGCATGTGTCACTCTGAGCAGGTCCGCCCAGTCCTTGGCCTCGAACACATCCACGATCTCCTCCTCCTTCTTCTCTTCTTCCTCAGCTTTCTCCTCTTCAGCCTCCGATGACACGCTCTCCTCTTCCTCACTCTCCTCCTCTGACCCGGCTTCGAGAGCCTTCTCGGCCTCCTCTTTCTCACGCAGTTGCTGCCGGGCCTCCTCAACCTTCCGCTGCTGCTCCTCTCGCTGGCTCTTTTTGAGCAGCAGGAGCTTCTCCCGACGGTTTTTGGCGTCCGCGAGGTACAGCTGGTCCTCTCCGTATGTAGCCCTCTCGGCCTCTTCGATCACTGGGTTGCCGTTCCTGCATCAAAGCATGGGGAATGTCGGCGTGGAATGGGAAAAGACGGAAGGGCTGTGAGTACATGTCGAAGTCGAAGAGCTTCATGGCTTGCAATGCGGCCAGCTCCTCCTCGGTCAGCTCCTGATAGATGGGCAGGACAGTGCACATATGCAATGTAACATCACCAGTGCAGTAAAGAGGGGCCCACCTCCTCCGCTTCCTCCATTACCTCCTCTTCTTCCTCGGAAGCCTCGCTCTCCTCGATGCCGGCCCGCCTCCTGGCCTCCTCCGCCTTCCGTTTCTCCTCCTCCTCTCTCTTGCGCTCCTCCTCCAGCCGGACAGCCTCGGCCATGATCTCCTCCTCCGTCATGGCCTCCACGCCCAGCACAGTCGCCCGACCCCACTGCTCCCGAGGAGGCACCAGCCCGTCCTCCGGCCTCCATTCGAATGGGTTGAATCGCTTCACTTTCTTGCCCTTCTTCTCGCCTGCCTCGTCGGACGCGTCTTGTGTGAAGAAGCCGAGAGCGCCAAAGATGCTGGAGGCGGAGGCGGTGTCATGCCTCCTCTTCTTCGATTTGCCTGTCCCCTTCGGCATCTCACAAGTCTCGACCCCCGTCTTGCCCCCAGTCTCAGGAGACGAAATCACTAATTTACCATCCTGCGTTGGGGTGAGACCCACACGCCGCCTGCACCGCCACCGTATCAATCATACCAGAGATCCGCCGATCTTCATGAGGACGCAGATCTCCTCCAAGTTGGCTCCAACTCATGACGCCTTTTCTCTCCATCACCCTCGTCAGCATCCGATGCCCATTCATATGTCATTCACCATTGGCAGCAGAGAGAATGGACACTTTGATTCGACGTGTGCTTCCCTGCGGGCGCCGAGGACGGACGGAATTTGCGTGAGGCGGCCGCAGATGGATGGATGGGGGATGGTGTGCTGCGTTTCTTGAGGGGGACTGTTGGTTGTCAGGGGGCGTGTGCGTGTGGGGATTCTGTACTGGTTCAAGTCATTCTGCCTACAAGTCCTTGTGTGTCTTTGCCAAGCTGTGTCATGTGTGCCTACATCATTGCAACCACCACACACACCGCCATGAAAGCCACGCACACTAGCGACCGAGGCTATCGTCAGTCCATCTGTCTGTCAGGTCAGTCAGGTCAGCTGACTAGGTGCCGGCTGACTCTCCAGTGAGCTCAGGTTGTCTACTCTATCTCTCTACCAGTCAAGTGCAATAGATGCTTTCCTCTCTCACAAGGCGAGCGAGATTTAAGGAACCAAATCGAACACATACAACACAGACAGCATCGTAGACCTGCCTTGATGGTGATACGTACTGCGCTCTGTCCACCCTCCCATCCATCCGTCCATCCATCCATCCATCACAAACACACGACCGAAAACACAACGTCACGCTCAAGGCAGTCAGTCCACAGCCACACACACGCACCCGTTCCGATCGATCACAGGCAGGCAGGCAGGCAAGCAGGCATGAGGTGGAGTGATGCACGCACATGCAGGCGAAAAGGTGTGAGGGAGTGCGAGAGTGTGTGAGTGTGCAGGGAAGTAGAGAGAGAGAGAGAGATACAATCGGTGTGGATGGATGGCGAGCAGTAATAACTTCCCCTCATGTGTGCTGGTGTGTGTAAGTGTTGCCCTTGCCTATTCACGCACGCATGTGTACACGCCACCACGCCACACACCACACCACACCCAGCCGCTCACTCGCCCGCAGACAGACGCCCGACCATAGGCCTCACGCGGGCGAGTGGAGCGCTTAAAGCAAAACCCGCCCACACACTGCCGAAAAATCACAACCCGATCAGCCACGCAGACAGAACTCATGCACGCCACCCTGCATTCACGCACCAGCCCACCCTGCCTGGACGCCTGACTGCGTGGCAGCTTGCGACGACACAAAATGCATAGAGAAGAACGCCTTTACTAGGGTCTGACAACCAGAACGCACACGCACAGAAGGAGAGAATACACACAACATGAGAGAGGGTGCGTGTGTGTGTGTGTGTGCGTGTCTGTCTGTGTCTGCTCACCGTGCTTGATGGAAGGATAGTAGTGTTGGATCGATCGATCATCGGCCGCGAGGCCCGCCCCGGGCCCCGCGCATCCCTCCTCTGTCCGCCCCTGCACCGCGGCCACGTCTGCCGGCATCGCCACGGCCAGCAGGCGGGCCGCCACCACACCACCCACGCCCGCCGCCACGGTTGCCTGGCGAGGCCGGGCTCCCCCCGCCCCTCCCCGACGGCCCACCGAACCGCTTCTCCCGGTCAGACTTGCGCCACGTCAGTCGACCGAATGGCGAGAGTACCGCCGCATACGGCGACGACGGCCCGGTCGGCTTGCCCTCAGCCCCCCGCTGATGATACGGGGTCTGGCCCTTGCTGCGGGCCTCGAGGCGCAGGAAGGCCTCAGCGGTGGTGATCGAGTCCATCTTGATGAAAACGAAGGTGGGCGGCTTGTAGTAGGGGATGTGACGGCTCTTGTCACGGATCCTCTGGATGTCTGCGGGCTGCTCAATCTCCAACACCTTGCCGTGCGGGATGTGGTACTTGATGGCTTCGTTGAGGCGCTTCAGAAGCGTGTCGCAGTCCTTCTCGCTCAAATTGTCGATGTCGTCAGGCGTATCCGAGCAGAAGAGCCACTGGGAGGGCTCAACGGACCCCTGCACCACCTTAGGGGCCGCTCCGATACCGGCACCGTTGCGGAACACCTTGTCCGGCCGCTCGCGCCAGTACCGCTGCCCGTGGGGATGCCCCCGCGCCCCTCCCCCTCGCACGCCCCCCTGATGGCCGGACCCAGCACCATTCTGAAGGACAAACAGGCAGAGAAAGGTCATGAGATACATGGTTGGGGGTGTGGGGGTCGGTCTGTGCGTGTTGTGTGTCACCTGGGCTGGCTGTGCCTGCTGCTGGGGGCGAGGGTGTCGGGCCCGCGCCATCGAAACGCCTGGAAAGACAACAAGAACAGACAGACAGACAGACAGACACGGTGGTCACGGGGACAGGAGGATGTGATTCCCCCGCCCCCCTTGTCATGCTGTGCGTCGCCCTACTTTCTTCGAGTGTTGGACCGGTGTCGTTGAGTGTGACCAGCGGGGCCGCGGCGACAACGGCACCTCCCACACCTGACGACACATACAATCACGCACATACATGCACATCCCTAAATGCACCCTTGTTTCCCTCTCTCGCTGGCTGTCTGGCTGGCCGTGCCTCCTCCCCTTCCCGCTTACGTGGCTGAACGACGACGGGCGGGCGGCCCACAACATTACCGACCTGGTTGGCTCCAGCAGCCTCGTCCGCCCTGTTGGCGGCATCCTGGCCCTCGCCCCCATCGCCATCCGCCGCCCCTTGCCCCTCACCCTCCCCGTCCTCACTCGTCTCCTCCTCCTCCTCCTCCTCCTCCTCCTCGTCATTGTCGGCGTCATTGTCGTTGGCGGGCGCCCCGGGAACCTCAGGCACCGGTGCAGCAGGGGTGGCCATGTCAGCCGCCTGCTGCTGCTCGGGCTGCTGCTGCGGCTGCTGCTGCGGGTCAGCAACTTGGCCATCGTGGTCTCCCTCCTGGGGGGCGGGTTGCTGTTGCTGTTGCTGTGCCTTCTGCTGCTCGGGCTGCTGCTGTGGCTGCTGCTGCGGCGGCTGCTCGAACGATGGCGCGTTGTTGCCGCCACTATCCCCGCTGCCGCCAACGCCGCCACTCCCGTTGCTGCCGTCTGGGGAGAGGGGCTCCAGAGGCGAGGACATGTTGCTGCTCCCGTTGGTGTTGGGCTGGCCGACCGACGTGGAGCGGATGCTGGTAGGGCCGGCGAGGAAGAAACGAGGGCCTTGCGCACGGCCGCCATATTTGGGCGGGGTGAGGCCGCCCTCGGGCACAGCCGGGAGCATGCCCCTATCGCGGAACTCCCCAGTGTCCTTGCTGACGAGAATGACGTGACCGCCGCCCTCGACCGTGGGCACAAACGCCAACACAAACACGCGCTTGGTGGCCATGAGGTGCCCGTTCAGCTGCAGGTGCATGCCCTCGACGCTCATGCACCATCTGCCGGCCTCCCGGAAGACCGCCAGCTGGAGGCCGTACATGCGGGAGTGCTTGAAGCGCGTCTCGAAGGCCTCGTAGACGCGGCGGATGTCAGCTATGCCGCGGGCCTCGTGCACCTCGCCACCGACGTCGGTCAAACGCATCTCAGAACCTGTTGGCAACAGACAGACAACACACAGACAACACAACACGTCAATGGTGGGCCGATGCATCCCGCAGAGGCAGTCTCGCAGCTGTGCCGCTCACCGGGGTGGTAGAAGATCTCTGCGCAGGTCTCTGGCGCCTCGGACGTGGTCTCCAGGAAGTGGGTAATCCAGGAGGCGATCAGGTTTTCGTACGTGAGAGCCATGGCGCCCTCAACGCGACAGAGGTCTCAGACCTCTTCCCTGCTGCTCCCAAGCAGAGGGGCGGTCAGTCGACAAGGAACTCCTCTACTCTTTGGCTGTGCACACACAGGGCAGGCCAACAGACAGAATGCGCAGGAACTTGCTCCCGAGGGCGTGAAAGGTGACGTGCGTGGCATCATACCCGAAAAATGAAAAAAGAGAGAAGACGACAGACAGCCTAACTGCTTGGCTCAGGACGGCAAGATGAGCAAAAGGAAGGGCGGAAGGGAGCCATCAGACCGTCGCAAGTCTCAGCTCGCAGAAGGGGCGAGCTTTTTTCAGGGCGTTCGTTCCGTCCGTTCGTCGTTCGTTCGTTCGTTCGTTCCGAAGGGCCGGAAAGGGGACAATGCTTGAGGAGTGGTTGCGGCTAGTGGGAGAGAGCAGCGGTGCAACTTGCAAAGCTCGCAAGATTGGGAGAGGAAAGCGGAGAGCTTGACTGCGCTCAGGACGGCGAAGATGATGAGCGAAAGGAAGGCAGGAGCCATCGAAACGAGAACAGGAGCGGCTGTTTGTTCAAAGCTCGCAAAAGAGGAGAAGAGAAGGGGAGGAGAATGGAGCTGCGTGGCCAGAGTAGTGGGTGCGGTGTTGGAAACGAAGAGGGGTCTCGACAGCGTATCAGCTTCTCGCCGAGGTGACTGTCTGCCACAAAGCGTCGCTTTGCAAAGTGCCCCTTCACTTCAGCCGACGAAGAGAGGACCAGATCTTCAAGCCATGCTGCTTAGTCGGTTGCCTCATCAGCGGCGGCTGCAGCAGAGGTCGGCTGTCCAAGAGCCACAACTGGGGGATCTTGTCAACATCGGCTTAAGGAACAAGGCGGTCCGACGAGGGGGGACGTTGCGGGCAAGGCTGATTTATACTATGGAAGATCTCGGAGGAGGCGCGCCAACTTGGCGGTGATGCAGCAGCTGGTCGAGTCTAAGGCCGAGTCGCATCTCAGCAGCCCATGTGCAAGAAGACCGGATCTCCCACAACGGCCCGCCCACTCGTTCGCCAGGCCCCCTTCGACGGCTTCAACAGCCAGCCGGGCAGCAGAGGGCAACTGAGCAAGAGTCGCATCTGGCGGAGTTTAGCGAGTACTCGTCGGCAAGGCAATTGAGCGTGACCAGATCACGGCTTGTTAGCATCGGCGAGAGGCTACGGCAGCTCACGGGCCAGGCTGCAGCATAGCACCCTCGTCCAGGCGGATGCTGCCGAGTACAGGCCATCCCGCGAGACAAGTGGCCCAGAGAGGAGAGCTAGATGGTCTGTGGTCTGCTGAAATACCCGTGTCCACACAACCCTCAACTCAACTATCTCTTCGCTTTGGTATGTGCAGTCTGTACTGATAGTGTCGCTACTTGCGACAGCTTCCGAGCTCTCACCCTTGCCGAGCTGTTTGACTGGTTGAGGGCTCATGGCTCAACGGCAATGAAAGGACGAACCAGCCTGGGGCTGCAAATGCGTAACTTGAAAGGACGTGCCAGCATACGCTCATGTTGACGGAGCTCGCTGGCGTGACAGACTTGTTCATGCTACTCATCAATGGCACCGAAACCCTTGCCACGCACAATGCACTTAAGAAGTACAGCTCTCTACTTGCGACAGCTTCCGAGTTGTCCAGCCTTGCTATGGGGAAGGAAACACGTCACCACCTGCAGTGAGTGAGGCGACTCCCTCCCCACATTGCAGACTACAGACTCATCCGGCGGTCGTCAAGTCGCTGGCAAAACATTGAACCAGCTGGAGGCAGCTTATTCATTCATTCATTCATCAAGCGTCTCCTGTGATCGCATGAAATGCATCCATGGAAATGATCTAGCAGCCCTGCAAAAAACGAGGCTGAGACCAGGGCGGCGAGTCCGGCTCACCAAGCTTTTCCTTGGCTACCCCTGGGTTTCGGAGAAAAATGCCAGTCCGTTTTCACCCCGATGGCGCGGGGCTGCCCGTGCTTGTATACTTCCCCGGGCCAGGGGAGGTGGTGTGCCAAGTATATGTTGTGGAGGTGCGTGCACGCGTCTGTCTCGCGCTTCGTGGTCGCGTTGTGTGTGTATAGGTAAGTGTCCATCTTTGCCTGTCATCTCTGTCTGCCTCCCCTCCTTCCTCTCCCCTCTGCCCTGTGTGTGTGTGTGTGGTGATGTGTGTGGCCCTCGTCTCTCTTGTCGTGTCAGGTGGCCTGTCTCTCTTCCCCTCCCCCCTTCCTGTCTCCCTCCTCCCTCTCCCCTTCCTGCCTCCCTCCCCCCTCCCCCATTCACCCTCCCGGTCCCGCAATAAGAAATGAGCTGCATGCACACCCCTCCGTCGCATCGTGTCTCAGTATAATTGCCGGGTTGCCCCGCGTGATGTGTGAGGATACCGGGTTGCCCCTTGCTATGTGAGGATATCGGGTTGCCCCGCACTATGTGAGAATGCCGGGTTGCCCCGTATGCATGCAAGCGTGTTCGTGGGCTTACGGATGTCGTAGAAGTGTGGCGTCCTCTTCGGTGCGCGCATGCCTTCTTCTCTCCGCTCGTCCGTGCAACTCGTGTGTTCTTCTGCAGGGACGCGTGGCTGTCGTGGAAAGGCTCTTCTATCTCAGGCTGAGGACGCCCCCGTCGTTTCGTGGGCCTTTCCACTGCAAATCGCACATCGTTGTAGCCGTTCGGTGGAGGCGAATGCAGCGGCGAGGTTTCGAGGCGTCATTCGATCATACCGAGGAGAGTTTCCTCCCGAGGCAGTAGATGCAGCCGTCTGCCGTCTACGACCATACATGCAGCTGGTGTTTCCTCGTGTCTCCAAGTACCCACTGTGTGGTGCTGTGGAATTCGGGGATCCTGAGCCGCTGCGCCTCATATGACTGACCCAGTCAAGGGCCGTATAAAATGATGGTCAAACCTTCGCGTCGTGGCGTATAGAATGTCCCCCCCCGTTCCCTCTTGGCATACATTGCAAAAGTGTGGGGATTGCATCTGTTTCAGCAGGAGCATTGCCTGAGGCACACGTGTCGTGGGCTGCATCAGCCTTCGGGCTGCCTGCATGGATGCGGGGCGAGCGGGTTCGACGACCCGCCATATTTTCGTTCGTTCGTCCTCGAGCTGTCTCCGGCATGCCCATTCGCATCTGCCGGGCCTAAAGGGGCACGGATGGGGAAGGCAGAGTGGGAAAGCGATGAATACGATCCCCTCTTGTCTCCTGTCCTTTCTGTAAATTCCTGTTGTGTCGAGAATCCCTCTGTCTCACGAGAAACAATTTTTCTGAAAGAAACCGTTTCTTCAGACAGTGGGCAGCAAGAGAGTGCAGTTCCCTACGGACAACCAACAGATTATGCCATTCCATCTCCTTTCACCCAGGACGTCATCGTTTCTCTGCCTTTCCCTCTCTGGATTTCCCCCTGATGTCATCACAGAAAGCAAGGACGGCCCCCGCTCCAGGAGGCCCTCGCACCCCGCCGCCTCCGCTGCCCAACCTGAACCACACATCCCGCCATCGCGCAAACGCAAGGGAGAGAAGCTGCAGCCGTCTGATGAGGACGTCGCTGAGCCTCTCTCATCTGCTCCCCTGCGCCCTTGCTTTCGCTCATCACCTTGGTCGTGCTGAGCGCAGTTAGGCTGTCGCCATTTCTCTTATTTTTCGGGTACGATGCCACGCACGTCACTTCACGCCCTCGGGAGCAAGTTCCTGTGCGCAGTCTGTTGGCCTGCCCGGTGTGTGTGTGCACAGACACAGAGGAGAGGTGTTCGTTGTCGTCTGCCCGCCCCCTCTGCTCGTGAGCAGCAGGGAGCGCCGAGACTGTAGGCGTTGGTGAGGGCACCATGGCCCTGACGTACGAGAACTTGACCGCCTCGTCGATCACGCACTTCCTGGAGACCACGTCCAAGGCCCCAGAGACCGTCGCAGGCCATGCCTCGACAACCCGCTCCAGAAGGCCATGGAAAGTGGCAGGAAAAAGGTCAGAGAGACAAGGAGGAGGACCAACCGACCACCGGCAGCTTCAAGGCCGAGGCGGCACTGCGCCGCTCTGAGAGGGGCTTGGTCAAGCTGGACAGCTCGGTGTTCGACCTGCTGGAGGGTAAGCCACACCCAAACCCACACCCACAGCAGCATCAAGCACACAGACAGTGCTGTGTGTGTCGTTGTATGTGCAGCACACCAAGGACGTCACATTCAACAACCGACTTCCCCGCTCGGCACAGAACGCCGCGAGGTTCCTGGGCGCTTACGCGGGACCACTGCTCAGAATCCCATCATTCTGGGATTGGCCGGTGAGTAATGCGAATGCGACAGCGTGATGGCTCCCTTGCGTCATCACCTTGGCCGTGCTGAGCCACGTGCTGAGCCCACCAGTTAAGCTCTCGTCTCTATGATGCCACCCACGTCACTTTTCACGCCCTCGGGAGCAAGTTCCTGTGCGCATTCCTGTCTGTTGGCCTGCCCGGTGTGTGTGTGCACAGCCACAGAGTAGAGGCTTCGTTGTTATCTGCCCGCCCCTCTGCTGTGCAGCAGGGAGAGGTCTGAGACCTCTGTCTATCACGACCTCTGTCGGCTATCGTTTCTGTTCACGCAGGGCCGACATGCTGCAAGCGGTGTATGCGGCGACTCCCGGGACCGCTGCGGTGGGGCAAGGTGCTGATGTGGCTGCTGGTGGCGGTGCTGTCGCTGGCGATCATCACGGCACTCAGCTACTCCACCTCGCTTCCCACATTTCTACGTAGAACGACGGCTCGGAAGGGCAGCAAGAGTGTGTGTGTGTGCATCGCTGTCTACATTTTATATTATGATGTAAGTTGATTCGGTTCTGAGAGGACGCATGTGTGTGTGTGTTGGGGGTGTGCCTGAGAGACATGTATTGACCGGTGACTGACCGACGAGTCGAATTGGCACTCCAAGTAAGTGTCATGGACACATCAATCACCTCATCACTGCACATACGCTCAGTCGGTTCAAAAAGCATCGATGATGCCTGTATGGACTGCACAGACATGACCAGCCATCGGCCTCGATCGACCCAGCCAGCTGCAAAAAGACAGCCCGCCAGCCGGTCCCCCGTCCATGCCATGCTGACTGACCCACACACACTCATCCACTCACTCACTCAGACGGACAAAATGGCTGGCAAAGCGCCATGGATGTCATCCATCTGAGTGTCACAAACCCCCCTAGCTAGCTTCACTGTCCCCCCGTGCCGTTCATGGTGTGTGGCTTCTCGTTGGCGAAGTCCTTGTGTGTGGCGCTGTATTTGCCGATCAGGTGCTGGCCGCTGATGCAGGGCTCGTACTTGGGCGGATTGGTGGCCGAGCAGCACGACGGCAGACACTCAACCTGCCAAATGGATGGATTAAAAAAACAACACGTCTATGTCCGCCTGCCTTCTTTCTCTGTGTGTGTGGATGCACTCACTGCACACCTACCTTTGTGTCATAGTTGGGTTCGTAGAAGAAGGGCAGTGAGTACCTCTCGGTGGCCGTCACATTCACCACCCGGTGGGGGGTGCTCATGAACACGTCATTGGTCCACCTCTATACCAATGCAATCCACACATCACATCAAGGCATCCCTGTGGTCACCTCACTCACACCTGCAGCATGTCCCCCAGGTTGATGACATAAGTGCCAGGGATTGTCGGCACGTCGATCCACCTGTCGCAGCCCCGCGGCTTGATCTGCAGACCTGGCGTGCCGTCAGTCGCCAACACAGTCAGCATACCTGACACATAACACACGACAGACAGACAGACAGACAGACACCACGGGGAACCTAAGCAGTGTAGGAGGGCAGCCAGCGGGGCTCTCTCTGCTAGAGCTCTCACCATAGTCTGAGTGTTCGCCGGCAGCAAACTTCCCTTTGGCCGGATCCGACAGCTCTGCCGAATAATGCAGCGGCCGCAAGCTGCACACACACACACCGACACACTTGCAAGCATCAAGCCTGCGTTCATCTAGCCTCTCTTGTGCGTCTTACGCAGTGAGAGGCCTCGTGAAGTACTGATCGAACCAGTCCTCTGGCAGGTCAAGGGCCATCGCCAGGAGGTGTGTGATCCGCACGCTGAGTGTGATAACCGCCGACACATACTCCTCCATCGTCTGCACCAATGACACGCACACGCACACGCACAGCATATGACACACAGCCGTTGCTTCTCTCGTCTGTCCTACGCACCTCTCGCCATCCGGGGAGGTCCGCTGGCCACATGTTGGGACCATGAAGTGGCAGTGACGTCTCCGGTGAGTCGGGCGGCACCTCACGGCCAATGTAGTACCCTGCAGAGCAACAGCACAGACGCGCAGGACAGACAGATGCAGCAGTGACTGTGTATATCTGTCTGTCGCGTGTGTGTTGGTCTGTCCCTCTCCTCTGACCCTCTTTGGTGTCGCCCTGCGTTGACTTTTCGACATCGAGGGTCTCCTCTGCCCACCGAGTGTAGCCCCGGTTGTTGGCGTTGGTCGACGCGGCGACCTGCATCTTCCGCTCAATCGGCAGCGAGAAGAACCGCCGCATCTCAGAAAACGCGCGGCTCAGCAACTGACACACACAGACAGACAGATGCACTCATGAAATTAAGACGACGAACCATCTCCTCTCCTTCTGTTGCTGCTCGCCATCTGTGTCACCTCTTCAGGCACACCGTGGTTCTTGACAAGGAAGAAGCCGATGGTCTTGCACGCCTCTCGCACCGCCATCCGCAGGGACTCATTGTCCTCGGCCAAATCGAAGATGGGCACGTGCAGCGTCAGATCTGCGTCTTTGAGAACGACTTTGTCGCCCATCGCGGACGGCACCACCTGCTCAACTGCCGTTGCCATCATCTCGCGCATCAGTTCCAGCTCGCAGTGTAAGGGGCCTGAAACCGCTGAGCAGAAGGACGACGAGGACGATGCTGCGTCGGTCTGTTCGCCGCTGCTGCGCCAGCCAGTCTCCGTCATCCTCAAATCCTGCCAGATCCAAGGCGGCGCCCAAGCAGCATCAGCTCAATGGCTCATCTCCCGCGTCCAAGCTGCGCGACTTCTTCACGGTCGTCGAGCGTGACGTGTGCCACAAGAGGGACAACCCCATGTGGCATGATTGGGGCACACGGATTGCGCACGAGCGGCCCGAGCTGCTGACGGGGTTTGTGGAGTACCGTGACAGCATCAATGCTGTGGCGAGTCTGATGGACAAGTACGAGATAGGCGAGAGTGCGGAGGACATTGAGAAGATCAAGAAGGTGGCGGCGAGTGTGGGGCTCAAGATGCCAATCGATAAGAGTGTTGAAACGGGTGATGAGAGCAGTGAAGGACAGGCTGCCGCCAGTGGTCACCCGGGCATGGCAAGTGCCATGACGGGCGGTGAAGGGGTCAGATAGTTGTGTTCGTGTGAGCAGACCCGGAGGACCAGACGGACACTTGACATGAATGACATGTAAATAGTTTGTCCATGTCTGTTCTGATTCATCCACGCGTCCCTGGTGAAAAAGATGCGTGTGCAAAGGGGTGCGTATCGCAGCCGTGCACTGCAACGCTCTCCTTCGGCACGGAACGCCCTGATATAAAAACCACATAGCGACAAGCTGTTTATCTATCTGAAGTTACGGTAAGTCCACGCACCCCCCGCCCGCTGGCCCACACCCACACCGACACCCATCCCCGACTCGACTGGCACGGCACACAAATTAGGTACGAAGAACGGCCACACAAAGCCTAGGACGCCCTACTTGACCAGGAAGACTGACTCATGCCATGCACACAGACACACAGACACTCAAGGGCATGCACTCGCTGCACACAGACATACAAGGCAAGAGCCTGGCCTTCCCTTCAGGTGTCATAGTCCATTGTCCTCTGCGTGAGCTCCTCCTTGATCTCCCACGTGTCCTGCTTCATCATCGACGACATGAGCGACCCCTTCTTGACGGGCCGTACGGCCGCATGCCTCCCCTTGCTGAGCGGCTCCCTCTCGTCGTCCCCCCCCGACTCCCCACACAGCCGCCTGTGCTTCCTTTCCGCCAAGACGTCAGCCACCCCACTCTTGCAGAAGAGCCAGACGTGGAACACGCCCCAGGATGCCGAGGAGACGATGTAGAACCAGAAATCGACCTGTTGGGCGAGCGCTTCGCTTCCCCAGCCGTGGGCGATGTGGCTGACGATGAGGGACTCGACGATGAATGCGGACAAGACGACGAAACACACGATGATATACTTGTCCATGAAGGTGAGGTAGCTCAGTGGGGGGAGGCTGGAGTGGTTGGCCAACCAACACGACACACGCACACACACACACACACACACAAAGATGGAGAGAGGAGAGGGTGGCGCAGCTGACTGTGAGGATCTGTGTGTTCCCTCCCCACCCACCTTTGTGCGACGGCCAGCTTGAAGGCGACTGCGGTGAGGAAGAGGGTGACGCAGAACTGTGCCCGGTCGGCGAAGTTGGTCAAGTGGATCCCAATGCAGGCAAACTGAATGCACACGATCAGGAACCTACGCAACGCACACACACACACACACGCACACACACACACACACACACAAGCCTCCAAACGGCCATTAGCTACCTACAGGCACGTCGCTCACATGATAATGATGATGTTCCAGAGGAAGAAGTGGGAGCTCCGCTGGACGTGCGCGAGCATCCAGGTGGTGGAGAGGCTGCTGAAGTCGCTGCTGCTGAATCGCAGCGGCTCCACCTCATCCACATGCCACGAGCTCGTCTGCACCGCCATCTCGCACAAACTGTCAATCACAAACGGCAGGTCGGGCCACCTGCACACCACAAGGAAGGCAGGCACCGTACCATGCAGTAATGCGACAGATAGATGCCCAGGTGAGGTGAGTGAGGTGAGTGGCTGGCTCCATCTCATCTATCGGATACTCTCTGTCTGTCTGTATCTCGATCACGTGTGTTGTGTTGTGTGTACCGTACATACCATCCGGGCCCTCCCGCCCACGCGGCGAATGAGAGGTCGATTTGTGGCATCATGCGTGCGTTGGTGCAGAAGAGGCGGATGGGCAGCAACTGCTGGTCGAAGGGGAAAGCCTTGAGGTCCAGCGAAACGTACATGTCGGCCGACCACGACTTGAGGTACACACACACACCGCTGCACAGATTGAAAGCGCTGCAGACAGGCAGACAGACAGGCAGACAGACAGACAGACAGAAACACAACAAGGATGCTAAAGGGGTTTGCCGAGAGGCTGTGTGTGTGTGTGCGTCTGTGTGGGTGTGCGTATGTCTGTGTGTGTGTGTTGAGCTGACCACATCTCAGGAACGAAGTCCCTGGTGTCGCTGGCTCTGAGGACGAGGTGTGGGTGCCACGGGAGCTGGCTCACGTCATTGACGATCTTCCAGTGGCGACACCGACCGTGGGAATGCACACGCTCCTCGCCGTCGCAGCACTCCTTCGCACAAAGGCAAGCCACGCCCGGTCGAACACACACACACACACACACACACAGACACAAGTGAGAAGCACTTCTCCGCCATCCCTCTCTCTGTTTGCTCACGATGCGCTAGCTCACCGGGAGGTGATAGAGGCAGAAGACGATGACCTCCACCCTCATCGACTCGCCGGAGTCCTCAATCTTCCGCACTGTGGCACTCATCCGAACCGCCACATCTCGGGCAAACGTGTGGATGGGGCCAGAACCTGACCAGTTAGTTGCACACAGGAAGGAAATCAGGCAATAAATAGCACATTGCCTGCACGACGGAGGTGTGTGTTTGTCGTGAGTGTGCGTGTGTGCCTTGCTTCCTTCCCACCTCTGTGCTGCAGCGGAGGGCGTCCGTTCGCCTCACCATGATAGGGCCCGGCAGCGGGATCTTCGCTCTCGAGGCGGTGGTACCCGCTGCTGCCAGCAGCCTCAGGTGTCGTCGCCATCCTCAATCCTCCCCGATTCGGTGCCAACTGCCTTGTCAAAGAGATGCGATGTGGACAACCTCACGCCAAGATCACCACAGAGATCCGCTGGTTTAGCTTTCAGCGGTTCAGCGGAACTTCCTTTGCTGCAAGCAGCAGCGGTTTCAGGGAGCACCCTAGGGCTTGACATTTGCGAGCTTTGCAGATCTACGAGGTCTGCAGAATGAAGCTGTTTGCCATTTGCCAGGCACTGCTGGTTGCTGCCGATGCATTCCTGCAGCCACCTTCATCGCCACACCAACAGGCAAGAAGAGGACGGCCGCCTGGCTCTCCCTCGCTTCACGCGCTGGCTGCCCTTGCGGACGCCCCACCACTGATTCCCTTGCAAGATCCGCCAGCCATAGTGAGGACGGCAGACGATCTTTCGCGTCAACTGCTCCAGCGGCGGCCCGTCTCCCTGCGTGAGGTTCCCTTCTCCTTCCTGCAAGCAGCTGGTGCGGCAGATGCAGCAGATGCGGGTGGCTTGCCCATCTACGACAGCAGGACTAAGAAGATTGACTTCAGCCGGGAGTCGCTTCAGGGCGACGTGCCGTCAGCCGATGACCTGGCGGCCGCTGTGAAGGGCTATGGCTATGAGGTGGCGGCATTCGCTGGAGGATGCTTCTGGTGCAGCGAGAAAGGTGCGTGCGCCGAGGAGAGTGGGAGAGCGAAAGAGAGAGGGAGGAACGTCCCATGCTTGTCTCTTCACATCGCGGGCGGGTGCAGATTTTGAGGCCTTGAAGGGGGTGAACTCTGTCGTGTCTGGGTACACTGGAGGCAATGTGGCCAATCCGTCTTATCAACAGGTGTGTCAGTCAGTGAGCCCAGGGCGGGCCAGTGGCCGAGGCAATGGATGCGTCTGTGTGTCTGTCTTTCTGCCCGTCCTGCAGGTGTCCAAGGGCGTGACGGGGCACCGGGAGTCGGTGCTCGTCGTATATGACCCATCAGTGGTATGCGAACACACAACACACACACACACACACACACAAGGAAGGTTTGCCCTAATTGCCGGGACATCTATTTGCCCTGCCTGTGTGCAGACATCGTACGAGTCGTTGGTGGATTTCTTCTGGCGGTCTATTGACCCCACCGACAGAGCAGGACAGTTCTGCGACAAGGGCAAACAATACACGTAAGCGAACACACAGAAGCCCACATGGCAGACACAGCACAGGCCACGTTTATCTGCGTCCGTCTGTCGTCAGTTCTGCGATCTTTGTGCGCACCGATGCTGAGCGTCGGATAGCTGAGGAAAGCAAGAAGAAGCTCCAGAGCTCAGGCGCCCTCGGCAGCCGATCCATAGCCACAGAGATACTCCCGGCCGCCACATTCTTCCCTGCCGAGTGAGGAGGGCGGAAAGGAGAGAGGGAGAGGCCAACAGCACATGGTGTTGTGTGTGTGCAGGGATTATCATCAGGACTACTACAAGAAGAGTTCCGAGCTGTACAAGTTTTACAGGAGGTCGTGTGGCCGCGACGCCAGGCTCAAGCAGCTGTGGGGCACCGCAGAACCTGTCCCATCATGACACGGCGCCACCTTGACGTGACGGATACCGACCGATGCGTCACGTGCAGTGATCCTGTGAGTGAGTGAGTGGGGGAGTGAGTGCTTGAGCGAGCATGTGTGGATAGACAGAACAGATGGGCTCTGCTGTCGATGACCAGCTGACGGGGTGTGAGGGGGAGGGGTAGGGGTGGGTGCGGGTGTACGTGCTGAGTCGATAGTGAGGGCTGGCAGTAGCTGATGAGTGAACGTGGGGCGCCTCGAGAATCGAACGGACGCTTCACAGAGAGAAGACGACCTCCAATTTGTGTTACCCTGGTGGCGGCATTGATTTGTTGTGCATCCGACCCGTGACCAGCAAGCAGACGAGGGGCCTGGCTTGAGTAGCTACTCACGCCCCCGCCTCTCATCGACTTGATGGTCACGGATCGGTATGCACAACACAGACAACCACACCAACGAACCGAGCAATTGAGTCTCATCTCATGCCCATCCCCAACCCACCATTCTGCACCCCCTGGCGCAGCCCTGCCTGACCCTGCCCCCCACCCCCAGCACCAGCCGCATCTCGCCTCATCACCGGCCGCATTGCAAACGGTCCACCCGCACCCATCGCCAGGAAGGGATGCACAAAAGGTGGACGAACAGCGGCAGGGAAGGCCTGCTGCTGCTGCTGCTGTTGCTGTTGCTGCTGCAGGAGAAGCTGCGTGTACTGGGCTTGCGTCTGCATGGGTGCCATGCCGGCAAAAGGGCGGGGGCTGGGCTCTTCCTGAGGGGGAGGGGCGGGGAGGGGCGAGGGGTCTTGCTTGATGACGGGGGCTGCTGGTGGTGGTGGCGGTGGTGGTGGTGCTTCCATGGGGTGTTGTATCTGGCCGTCTGCGCTGAGGCCCAGCTGTCTGTTGCGCTCGGCCTGCCTCTCCTCGAAGCGCTGCACCTCCTTACGCTTGGCCTCAATCAAGTCCTGCAGGCAGCCAACAGAACCGACGACAGACACAATGTGTGAACACACACACAGTGCGTCTGATGTCTCTGATGTCTGGCTTGTCGGTCGTCGGCTGACCCACCCGTATGTGGAGCATTTGTGTGACGAAGGTCTTGTCCTCCTGCAGGTGGTGGTGGGTGCGCAGGGCCTTGAAGGCCTTCGCGTCGCTGAAATACTCCTTAGTCTTGGGGTCACGGTACCTCGCAGGACGACCTGCGCACACAAACAGACAGATGCACAGACAGACACGTGTCTGCGGTAGTGCACAGACAGACAATTTGTTTCTCGCCACACCTGTCACTTTGCAACGCTTGGCCTTGGGCTCTGGGCACACAAAGACACACACACACACACACACCACAGGCACCCACCACAGGCACCCACCACAGGCACACCCCACAGGCACAGATGCTCGCATGATCAAGACGCACTCTCCCCCTCCGTCCCTCCCCTTCTCTATCGTTGGCTCACGTGTTGGTGCACCGATGGCATCCAGCCACTTGGGCAGCGCTCCCCGCTGGAAGAACACTATCTCGCGGCTACCGGGCTCCGTCGATGCAGCAGCAGCAGCAGCAGGTGCCGGTGCCGCTGCCGGTGCGGAGGGCCCGTTGGCCATGTGTGTGTTGGGGTGCGGCTTGCGCCTGTCATGGTGGATCTTGGAGGACGATGTGAAGATGATCTTGGGGCCCCGGTGCTGCCTGAAGCGCAGACAGGCAGGCAGAGGAGGGGAGAAAGAAGTGAGAATCAAGCGTCACTCGTCAGTCGTCTGTGGTTTGTGTGGTGTGTGTGTGTGGTTATTTACTTTTTCTTGGCCTGGGCCATGATCTTCTGCTTCTTGACCTCCTCCTGCAGGCAGCAGTACATAAGACACACAGAACACACATGTGCAGAAACAGAGCCCATTCTTCCCCGAGTGTGTGTCGGTGTGTGCCCGGCCTGGGCAGGCCTGCCCTGCTGTGTCTGTGCGTACCATCCTGCGCAGGGCCTCGAGTGAGGCCGTGTTGTACTCCTCGGTGATCTTGGCCTCCCGCAGCAGCTCCTCCTGTGTGGGGACGTACACACGCTTCACGGGAGTGACCTTCTTCCGACGAGTGCGCCACTTCTAAACAACAATTGTACACGCAGAGAGAGAGAGAGAGCCATGGATGCACGTGTGTGTGTGTGTGTGTGTACCTGTTCCTCCTCTCTCATTTTGAGTTCCTCGTTGAGCAGTTCTGACTGCTGCTTGGTGGTGGCTCGCTTCGCACGGTCCGCACTCATCGCCAGCAAGTCCGACTGAGACTGCGACGAGTCAGCACGGGCTGGCACACACACACACACACACACACACGCGTCATTGCCTGCCTCTCTGCCTGCCTGTCTTTATCATGCATTGCCTCCCTGACCTGCTTTGGGTTTCCTCTTCTCTCCCCTAGCCAGCGCCTTGGGCTTTGGTTTTGCCTTGGCCATGGCGGCTTTCTTCCTGAGGAGTGCGGGGTCGACGTACTTGGACTTCTTCTTGACCTTCTCCTCGACGGGCTCCTGGTCCTCGTCCTCATCTTCGTCTTCGGGCTCGTCGATGTCGCTGTCGCTGAGGTCCTCCTTGAACTCCTTCTCGTCATCCTTCTTGTCGTACTCACTGTCCTCCGCGTCATTCTCCTCCCGCCAAGTGTCGTGCTGCCAAAACTGATACGTACACAACCAGATAGAGAGGCAGACAGCAACAAGGCAGTGGGTGGGTGGGGTTAACGAGTGTATGGGCGTGTTGGTATTTGGCTGGCTGACTGACTGACCTGTTGGTCCTTGTCGAGTGCTTCGCCGAGGAGTGCGACCATGCGCTTCCCTCGCGTGCCCCGCTCAGGCAGCTCCTTCTTCTCAGGCTCTGCCTCGGACTCCTCGTCGTCATCCTCCTCCTCATCCTGATCACAGACAGTCATGGCACAGCCACAGACATGCAACGAGATACACATGAATTGCCGTGCTTGCTGAGATTCTGACCTCGTCATCGTCGTCTTCGTCTCCCTCGGTGTCGGGTGCCTCGTCCTCCTCTTCAGACGCCGCATCGAGACTCGCAAAGTCCTCCTCGTCGTCATCGTTGCGGCGACGCTTGCGGACCATCGCTGTTCGACTTTTTTATAGATAACAAGCCATATGGATCTCCTAGGGCGCCTCTCTTCTTCCCCTTTTTCTTCCGCCGTTTCCCTCCTCTCTTTTTGCGAGCTTCTGACGGATCGCTGAGCACACAGGTGGCGAAAACGGGCCATCGGAGCACAGATGATGACGATTGCGATGACTGCTTGGCAGCACAAATGTCTTGGCTTCCGAGAGTAGAGGGTTCGAGGCGTCATATTGGTTTCTCGCACGGCAGTGGCTTACTGTCGAAGAGAACAGCCGCGTACGTCTAGCAGGTAACAGCCAGAGCACCAGTGCACTCAAACACAATGGCGCATCACATGCGTCCGTGTGTGTTGTGATTGTGACTGCCGCAGGTGCGTGTAGCTCTCCTCGTAGCTCTCTTCTTGCCGATGGCCAGCATTCCTCGATTGGGGTCCATCAACGACCCTCCGGCCTTGCACAACCACATGACATGCAGCACGAACACCGATACCAACATCCCGGGTCAGCCACACAACGCACTGCGACAGTCAGGGTCCACTGATGGACATGTCTGTCTGCTGTATGCTGTTTGTTCAGGTGTGTCTGTATCACTATCGCCTGATCTATCTTGCTCGCATAGCCAACAGCAGCAGCAGCAGCAGCATCAGCAGCAGCAGTCGGGGCCCTCCCCCTCGCTGCCGGTAGCCTCGCCCGTCGACCCTGTGGATGCAGAAATGGAGCGTCACGATAAGCCTGACACCCACCACCAGGAGGGTCAGCGTCGCCGGTCCCGCCGCAACGTGTCGGTGCGGCCCCTGTGGTACGATGATATGCCAGAGAAGAAGAAGCGGCGCGTGGGGAGGTCCAGGAGCGGCTCGGACAGGGTGCCCGTCAGACGGAGACGGGCAGCCAAGGCGGCAGCGGACAGGCTGTTGGATCATTTCCCTGCCGAGGCAGTTGGAGATCTCAAGGTGCACACGGATGTGCCGTTGGAGGCTGGCGAGAATAGCGGCGACGAGGGTGAGGGTGAGGACGAGGATCCGGAGAAGATGAAGTTGCTCGCCAGCGCGTGGGCTGCTCTCGGTGGATGGCCGGAAGGACTGCCGCCAGGTGAGTGAGTGAGTGAGTGAGTGAGTGGGAAACAAACAAACAAACAACATGGGCCGCATGCAGGAACACCATCCCCGCTTGTGTCCATGAATTTCTCAGAGTTGTGGCCGTGTGGCTCCATCGATGGGTGGGTGGCGGGACCTCCCGACGGCTTCAGCCCTTGGCCACCGGCTCAGACGGGGGGCCCCCTTCCCCTCTCCCTGGGTGCGTCCTCCCTCCCACACCTCCCCCAGCCAACCCCCCCGCCCCCTTCTCGGCCGTCCCCCTTCCCCCAGCCGTCCCACCCCTCTCAGCCCCCGCCAAGAAACTGGGCGCCGCCGCTCGAGGAGCTGGTCAGTTTCGTCAACACCACCACCTGCAGCAGTGTCAATAAGTCTACGGAGCTCGACCCCCACCAGATGTCGACTCTGACGCGACACCTGCTTGACCTGATGCCGCGAATCGGCAAGCCGACGGCGGGGCGCAAGACGGGCCAGAGGGGCGTGCAGCTGATCAACCTAGACTCCAAAGGCACGACCTCCTACTTCTACCTCCAGATCCGCATATCGACCACCGACCTGTCGCGTGAGATCGTCAACAAGTACGGTCAACAGAGGAAGGCCAACAACGTGCCGGGCGGGTCGATCCGCATTACAGAGATGACGGTGGAGGGCGTGCGGACGGCTATCATCCTCGCCGTGCAGAAGCGTGATGCACTTGCGAATGACCTAGGCTTCACTTTGAGGCTTCCGGGGGTGAGGGGTGAGGGTGCTGTGGATGACCCAGGTAGCGTGCATTCGTGGGAGGCAGAGGAGAATGAGGGCAGCAAGTCAAAGAGAAAGAGGAAGAAAAGGTCAAGTATGATGAGTGAGTGAGTGAATGAGCGGGCGACTGACGGTGCGTGTGGGTTGCGTGTACACTGATCCCGGTATTGTCCAGAGAGAGACAGACAGATGATTGCTTTTCTGAGACCCTTGTGTGTCCATGACATGCACACGCACAAATGCATTCATGTATGGATGGATGAAAACAAAGTCACGTGGCAACCAACGGCTCTTCTGCGGCAGCCAAAACATAATGAGATGCGATAATACCACACACACAACACGCGATCGGCGATATAGCACATGGCACCTCTTCACTTAAACGCGGCACAACCGCCCACGACACACCACACACGACACACCTCTTCTCTCATTTAAATGATGGAGCACAACCGCGAAAAATAACGCACCATAACGCGGTGACGAAGAATGGCGGTTCAGACGGTCGCCTTCGCCGAAGAAGGCACTCTCTCAGCAGCGGTTGCTTTGCGTGAGTGCCGATGGGGACCGCTCGCTTCGCCACACAGCTACAGAGACGCACTCACGCACACGGCTTCCCGTCACATTTGTGTGCACAGATGCCCTCACACCCAAATAGGCCCTCCTCTTTCTCACACTCGTCCAGCTCCGACAGTGTGTCGCATATCTTGCAATACATAGCCGGGGCTTTCTCGAACTCTTCGCATCGAGCGTTGGCCGGGGAGACGGCCGCGAACGCACCGACCATCCTTGGATTGGCCAGCTGCTCCTCGGCTGTGATGCCCAGCACACGCCCTGACGACCACATGCACAGATGAACAACCGCATGCAGCCACTTGTTCATCTGTCTGTCTGTCTGTCTGACTGACCCTCAGTCGTCTCCCTGCCCGTGGGCGGCCATTGCAACACCTCGATCTCGTCGGCCTCAGGATGCGTCGCTTCAGAATCAGAGCCCCACCTGCAGCGATGTGTGCACTTGTGTTGTGCATCTGCCTCTCTCTCCCTCCCCCCCTCCCTCCGCTTACATGAATGCCGCGCATGACGGCAGACCCCGCTGCAGGCCCCCGTTGCCGGCCATGTCGTATCGACCCGGCCCCTCCACCTCGGTGAGATTGACGTACGTGTGCAGCGGCTCGATCAGCCCCCAATCACGCGAAGACACCTCCGCCTCAACGCCAAAGCGATTGGCAGCAAAGAGAGACAGGCGGCTCTTGTCGGGACTCTTGGCATCGTAGTCAATCACCAAAGTGGCGTTACGAGCGTCCTTCACGCGCATGAAGTCGAGGAAACTCCGATAGAGGCGGGCGGGGATCTGCAGGGGTCGTCGAGTCGCGCCCTGTCTTTGAGGAGGCGCCAGCGCAGTCAGCCACACACACCGGCGGGTAAAGGTGCGGTCGGTGCCTTCATTGATGGCCGGACTCGATCGTGGGGGCACTACTCGGGCGAATCCTGCGGGACATCCTTTGATCCCAGGTGTGATGTCGCAGTCGTGCCGTGTCAGGGAGGCCCGGATGCCCTTCCAGATGTTCTGATGGAGGATCCACCCCTCGCCCTCCCATTCGGCCGCCACGCGGTCTACAGGATGAGCGCCCTCCTCCTCCCGAATCTCCTCGGTCTCAAGCGACTCCTCCGCCGTCACCACAAAGGCCTTGCGGAACCTGGCGCCCTCGGATCTGGGCTGGATCATGATTGCTTTTAGCGCCTGAAGCGAGACAACGACGCACTCATTCAGCCCCTGCATAGGAAGGTCTTTTCATTCTCTTGGCCTAACCGTGTATGAGGCTGCCCCACTGGTTGTGTTCCTGAAGATCTCGATCCGATAGCGTGGCGGAGTCATGAGATAGAGGGTGGTATTGATGATTTCGAACGTAGGCTGAGCCTCTGGTGGGCCCACTGTAGCACGGCACACTACGCGCTTGGTGTCGCGGATGGGCTCGAGGAGGACCCTCAGGTCAGTCGGCGTGCCGGTCTTCTGCCAGTTCGGGTCGTCGGTCTGTGAAGCGAGGTACAAAGAAGAGCAAATCAGAACGTGCTCTCGCTTCCTGTCCAGTGCACGTGGTGGTGTCTTACGATGTTTGCTCCCCATTTGGCGTCGTCGTCCTGCAGCTGGCGAGCATCAGATGCCGGCGCCTCGCTGGTGGAATGCTCATCTGCCTCAAGCAAGCGGGAAGTGACCGGCTCTTCCAGAGTCAAATCAGCGTGCAAACCTGACAAACACGAGACATGAATGACAATCTACACTGCAGCTTGCTTCATGAACCTACCCATATCCCCACTCCCTCACCGGTCAGGGGGATGTTGCCGAAGTTGTCCGAGCCATTGAAGTAGACGATGCTCTCGGTGTACTTCTTGATGGCGTCCTGAGAACACATTTGTCCATTCACCCATGCATTCTACACTAACTCTACTTCGTGTACCTTGAAAGAGAAAGAATCGAGCTCGTCGGCAGGCATCACCCGCTCCACCTCGGCCTCCAGATACTGCAGCAGCATACCCATGTCCACCGGATTCACTATCTCCCCGCTAAATAGCGACGCCTGGCGGCCTCGCAGGCTGTCGTCGGCCCTCTGGTAAGCCGTCCGGATGCGATCGACCTCCTTCGTATCGACGCAATCGTGCAGGCGTTTGGTCAGCGTCTTCTGGCGTTGGGAAAAGGCTTGGCGGAACTCAAGGATCTTGTAGAGGTCCACAATGGCGAGATTCATGAGGCGTTCGTTGCGCACGTAGTAGTCCATCGTCGCTAGGGCGATCTTTTTGACGTACTCCAACGGAGGAGTCGCTTGGCCGTTCGGCTGTGTGGGTCTCAGCGACTTCCAGTCCCAGCCAGTGCCGCTGATAAGGGTCTCGCTGCCTGCATGCGAACAGGCAGAAGAGAAGGAGGGCCATGATTGGTATTGAAAACAGACATGATTCTGACTAACTGTCTGTGAATGATATGGGTGCTATTCACCGACTGAGAAAGAAGTGTCCTTGCGATGCGAGGGCCGTTGTGACTTCGTACGATGCCATCAGGCATGCGTCGAATGACAGCAGGTCGAAGCGGAAGTCGTCAGGCATGCCCGCGTCCTTAACGCCTTCCTGGGATAACGAAACAAGACAAGACAAGACAAGCTCGATGTAAGAGGAAAGAAAGATCCATGGCGTAAAATGGTCTATGTTGCTTACTCTGATGTTCGTCTCTAGATCCCAGAGGCTCATCAGCGAATCCCAGTTACCATGGCTAGAATCGCCGCCGAAACTGCACACACACGGTCCACCCATGCTTCTTGATACATGCATTTCTTTTTGTCCGCGGTAGTCCACCCTTTCCGGCCGACGCCATGATCCCAAAAAGTGAGGGCGTAGTGCTCTGCGGGAAAATCCTTCAAGCTTCCCACAATAAACTCCTGCATACACCACACACACATGCAGAAGGAACGGGCACGTGTTGACGGCTTGTCGTGTCACTCACCCGGAGCACTTGCCCCTCGTCCATATTGATTTCGCCTAAGTCCCTCTTGAGAAGCCAGCGGCGCCGGCTGGTGCTGTTCTCGTTTTCGTATGGATCGCCGATCATCAGCAGCTCATATGCCCCGGAAAACTGCTGCCTTGCCTGAACAAACCGACGCCACCCAAATACAGAAGGGACAAGGTATTCATGCTCGTCTATCGGTCGATGTGAGATGCCTGGGCGCGTGTGCATGCATACGTCTCTGGCAGTGACCTCTCCGGGAGTGGCATTTGGACAGATGACCATATCGTGAATCGCCCGGTGGGATGAGTCCTCGACTTCAGGGTCGGCGCGGTCGACGAGCACAAGCAGGTTGATGTCGCCCTCGGGGATCTGAAGCATCTTCTTCAAGTCACTCATGGCATAGCTCTCCAACTTATTGTCCTGATGACGACCGCACAGACACACATGAACACGTGGGAGGGAGGGAGCGCGCGCATCTCTCTGGCAACTCTCACCGCGTTCATATACACGAGATGCGTCCAGTGTGCCTTCCTTGTGCCGCTGAGGCGCTCTGCCACTCCCGCACAGAAGGTGGGCGGCCTCAGCTGGTACTCCCACGCGGGACTGTCGCATTCGGGCAATGTGTACAAGCCACTCTCCGACTGGTCCTCACAATGCTCTTTTGGATGGATCCGGCACGTGGGTTTATCGTCTGACGACCGCTTCCGGCACTCGTCGATGCACCGGCAGCCGCCGTTGGTTAATACCTGCTCGATGCCACCCTCGACGCACGCGTCGTAGTACTGGCCAAGCGTGGGCCCTATGCACTTGCATGGACCCTTGTTGCAGTCCTCCTGTCGAACCATGCAGAATCGCTCCAGACCGGGGATGTCGAGGCCTTCCTTCTGGCAGCTCCTCTCGATGCATGGACAGCCGGTCAACGAGAACAAGACAGTCGGATGGTCCAGCTCCTCTGCTTCATCCGCCGCACCGATTGGCCCAGTCAAGGCTGTCAAGCCGCACGCATCGATGTACTGGCCGAAGATCGGCCCCTGGCATGTGCAGCCGTCCACGTAACAGTCCTCCTTCTCGACGCGGCAGTAGCGCTCGAATTCGCCGCTCAGAAGCTCCACCTCTTGACAGGTCTCGTCGATGCATCGGCAGCCAGAGACCGACAGGAGGACGCTCTGCTCGCCCTCAGCGCACTCATCGCCCTCGCACTGGCCTTGAGCTCTCCTGAGAGACGAAGGAGAAGATGCGACAAGCGACGGATCTGAGTCAAACACGGCACAGACGACAGAGCACAAGCAGTGGCTGTCTGTAGGGTCGCGTCATTGACCGTGTGATGCGCTCACCGTTGTTGGATCTCAAGCACAAGATGGTGTAGAGGCCACCAGCAGCGAGTGGGGGGCCGACACCAGAAGATAGAGAGTCAATGATGAATCATGCCTGCGCCGCTCTGTCGGCTGCCAGAGGTTTTCGTCGGAGGCCATCGCGCCTTCCTCTCCTTTCCCTTCCTCCTCCGCCTGACGCGAGCTTAGAGTGTGGAGATTTACGTTGCATGCGGAGCAAAAGGGAAACAATCCGTCAATTGCAATCCGTCTCTACGGTTCACGCAAACGCATTGATTCATCACGCATTGATTCATCAGTCACGAGCATGCATCAGAGCGCCATGTCCTCGACATCTCTGGTGCGATACGCCTCGCCATTGTCCTTCCCTCCCGCCTCACTCAGCTCCCCACCAGCAGCCCTCTGTGCTGCCGCCATGGCCATCTCCCTCTTCCGCATGGCCCGCCGCTCAGACAGCGGAGATCCCCCTGAGTCGGGCATCTCACGCGCAAGGTCGCGAGCCGACCCACCCTCCCTCCCGTTCCCCTCGTCATTCTCTCTGGGCGGCCCTCGTGGCGTGAGCCTCACCTCCATCCGCGGCTGGGTGTAGGTGTCCACTCGCTGAAACAAAAGGGGTGGGGGACTTGCGGACCGATCCACTGCAAGAGCTACAGGGCAAGGCTGGCCGTGAGGGACTGGTGGCAGAGACGGGGCGGCGGCCTGGGGCGTGTTGGCGCCGGTCGTCTGGGTGGCGCTGGCTTGTGTTGCGCCGCTGATGTTCGTGGTGCCCGAGCCGACGACAATTGGTGGGACGAGGGGATGCGCCTCGATCACACTCGCCGCAGAAGGGGGGAGGGCAGCAACAGGCTGATCTGCTGCCAGGTAATCCTCTCGCTCTGCTCCAGCCGCTTCGGCACTCTCCGCTCGTTCGTCTTGGTGGGATGGCGCCTCTACGGATGGCCCCATCTGCCGCACTGGAGGCACCAGCACCTGCACCGGAATGTCCCTCGGCAAAGCCGGCCGCATCCCTCCCGCCCTCAACGCAGCTCGCCGCGCAGCTGGACCGACAGATTTGGATCGAGCGGCCGCCGTGGCCTTCCCCGCTGCCCCTTTGGCCTTGGCTGCTGCCGGAGGAATGGCTCTCTTGGATGCAGCAGCAGATGGAGTGACCGATCGGCGGGCGGCTGCTGATGGGATGAGATTGCTGGGCCCTGCTGGTGGCAGGGGCACTTTGGCGACTGCTGGTCTGCGGCTGGCTGGGAGGGACGCCCGACGGCCCGCGGGAGTGCTGTGACGGGAGTAGTGGGAGTGGGAAAGCGTGGGGTCGACAGGCGCAGCTATACCCGACAACTCTTGGTCCACCTGAAAGCCGTACAGGAGACACTAAGATGCCGTATCCTTTGTGGATTGTTCTGGTCTTACGTCGAGCAGAGAGGCGATTGGAAGTTTGGAGTGTGAGGGCAAGCCATGGAGCGATGGCGGTGCCGGGAATGCAGGGGATGGTGGGGCTGGCTGGCCCGTCTTGAGGGCATGTACCTGGTCGTGCAGATACTGAGACATCGTCTGCTGCCAACTGAAGTAACAGAAATGCGCATTCCATCATTGTACTGATGGGCCATCTAGTATGCTTACTTGAGCTGTTGCTCTCGGATGTGGAGAGCGGCCTACAGGGCAGAATGGGCGCATGAAGAGATCAGCAATGCCCCTCCTGTAGGCGGCTCTTCCATTCGTCTCACCATGAGCTGTTGGTTTTGTTTCTGAAGTCGGTCGATCTGCACCGTCATCGACACGACCATCTCCTGCCGAGACGCATGCTCACCCTGCACCAACAAAAATGACAAGAACCGGCGGTGGCCACAGTGCCTCTCCTGGTTGCCCTTTGTGCGCGGGGCACCTCGAGTGCGGCCTCCCTCTCCGCTACGTCTTGGCCCTGGGATGCCAGGTGCTCGCGAAGCTGCCGTATCTGGGCATCCTTCTCGCGACGGAGGGTCCCTATCTCAGCTTGGGCCTTCATGGGAGAGAGTAGAGGATACAAGTCATGGCGTGAGCAGCTTCTGTGCCTGCTGTCGGCTGACCGCTCGCTCTATCTTCTGTTGGAGAACGAGATTCTCTTCCAACTGCACCCATACACACGAGACAGAAGGACCCTCGTTGGCCAAGGGAAGGAGCGTGATTGGTTTTGTTCCCCTGACCTCCAGTTTGAGTGCGGCCATGTGTTTGTCTCTGTCCTGGATGCCCTTGGTCAGCCGGCGAACTGCGATGCCCTTCTCATGCACCTGACAGAGAGGCCAGGGCACGTGAATGCGTTCGGGGCAAACTGATTTGACAGCTGCCATCGCTCGTCAGCCTACCTGCTTCTGCACTGCCTGCAGACTCTGCCGGGTGGCCTTCAGCTGCATATGAGGGAGACAGACAGACAGACAGACAGGCAGGCAGACAGACGAGTGATCATGTGTGGAGGGTCGCGTCGCGTCTGTGAAGAAGTCACCTGTGTGTTGGTTCTTGTGAGTGTGGCCTCCATGGCCTCCTTGTACGTATGAAACTCCTTCAACTCCTTGTGTGCCTTGGCCAGCTGGGCCTTCAGATCCGCCTTGGTGTCCTTGGGCGGCGGCAACTGATAGCCACACACAAACAGATGAAGATCGCAGTACCGGCGGTGATGCGACGGTGATGTGTTTGCCTTACGCCCACAGGTCCGATGGACGCACTCCGTTTGGCGGCGTCGTTCCCTCCCACGCTCGCGCGACGCTTGGGCAGCTCATCCACTACACTCGAAGCGCTGCACAAACCAACACAAGGACGCAATGCCATCACCTTTTATCCTTTGCTGTCTGTGTCACCACGATGGCGGCCCTGTCCGTCCCTCCGTGCTCCGCACATGCCACCCAGGAGGCACGAAGGGCGTCACCTTCGGAGACACCACAGCCCTGCACGCAGACAAAGGAGAGCAATCGGGTGATGGAACGTGGCAGGCAGGCTTTTTGGTGTACTTGGGTGGGGCAGCTGTCTTGGGTCTGGGAAGTGCTCTTGGTGCGTCCTTGGGCGGTGTGGATGAGGCCTGAGACGCCACTGGGCTGCTCCTCTGGAAGTCGGCATACGTGCGGGGCAGAGACCGACGACTGACACACACATACAATGAAACAATGACACGGATACAATTGCTATCGACACATGAACAGATGAGGCCAGCACTTACCCGTCAGCCGATGCCGCCCGCAGGAGCCGGGCGCCCTTGGGCAGCACGTCCTCTACCGCCCTCTCCGACCCGCCCTCATCCCCCTTGGGCCCCTTTGCAGTAGCAGCTTCTACCAGCCGTGCATACGCCCCTGCTGTCCCGCCATCACCACCAGAATAGGTGAAAGCGGGCATGCTTGGCAGGAGGGCACCGTGCTGAGCAAACATCGGTGGCTCCTGGGCACCATGGGCCGCCTCGTCAGGGAGAGGGGGAGAGGAGAAGCGTCGACCGTCGCGCAGGGTGGGGGGAGTGAGTGGGATGGAAGGGGTCCCCTGTTGCAGCTTCACAGGGCCGCCGTTGTCCACCACTGGCCATGTCTCCTTTCCACCTTGCTCCTCATGTGCAGTGAAATCCACTCCCCTGGCGACCGGCAGCGACAGCCGGCTCCTGGGCTTGGGCCCAATGGGCTGGTCCTCACCATTGCTCTTGACGGGTGGCGTGAGGGGTATCTGGTGGTGGGGGCTGTAGGCGGCATCGTGCTTCTTGATCAGCCGATGCACACTGGCCAGCAGGGCGTCTCCCTGCGCGGGAGAGCTGGGGCTCTTGGGGATGGGAGGGCCGAGAGGGAGACGTGTTCTTGACTCAGATGGCGGCCGTGGGGGCAGCACGTATTGCGGCACGGGAGCTGGGGTGTCGCTCGCCGTCTGATTGGCCGCTTCCGATGGTTGCTGGCCGCCTTTGTCGCACTCCTCCCCCTCCTGCTCTGGCCGTGTGCGGTCTTCTTTCTTTGGCGAAACTGTCTCAATCGTCCCCACGCGAAATCTACGCCCCACCTCCGTCCTCAGGAACCGATGGCCAGATGCTATCTCCTCAGCCCCACCGACGACAGCCGGCTGCGTCGACGCCTCTCCCTCGCCTCTTCCCCCGATAGCCCTCCCGTCCTCCCCCCTCGGCCCCTTGGCGCCATCTCGACTCATGACGTCCTCAGATGCGGTCGACAGACATGACGTCACGTCCGTCTGCTGCACGGTCTCGCTCTGGCTCGACGAAGCCATGTGGACCGCCGGCTGCTCCTTTGCTGGCTTGGGGCGTCGGTCCTTGGCGGTGTGGTGGCGGGCGTGTGTTCGCATTCGGTATGCGAGACGGAGGGCTGCACCCGCCCGGAGGAGCGGGGCGCTACGGGGGAGCTGAGCGAGGCTGTCAGGGGCCGACACGATCAGAAGAGTCCGATAACCGCCGCTGAAACTGAAGAGGAAGGCGCCGCGCAGGCAGAAAGGCAGGAAGACAGTCTCATGTGCCCTGGAGTCTTGCGCGTGTTGTGGGATTTTGCTGACCATTTTGTGAGCAGCCTCGTGAGTGGGTGTGTGAGTGGGATGGGCGGGATGGGCAGGTCGGGGGCGATGGAGGGGATGACAGCCAGCAGACACGCCCATGGGGGCGTCTGGGACTCATACAGATACGGCGGAGGAAGCTCACATGAGCTGAACTCCTCAGCACCACTACCTTGCTGCAGGACAGACAGAACAGCATGGCTGTGTGAGCAAAGACCCTACAAGAAGCCAACCCCTTTGCCTGCCTGCCTGCCTGGCTGACTGACCTCTCCTATAGATGCGAACCGCAGCGACCCATGTTGGCTCCGAGTGCCCGAGGGGTTGTACACGTGAATGGTCAGCACGTGATGGCTGCAGTGCCCCAGCGCACTCACCTCACGGACATCTGCAATAAGTTGAATGAATATTGACACCAGACGACATGCCGAGCAATGGTATGCAGCACCTCTTATTCCACGTTGCTTACTGGCGAATGCTCCGCTGATGGCGTCCAGGTCGTCTACGAGGTATTCCTCTAGGCCCTCCACCACCGTGCCCCTCTGCGCATCCTCCACCACCTGCAGGCGGCCCTGCGGCCGCTGCGTGTTGAGAGACGCCAGAATGTCCACAATGCGCTCGCCAACGAAACCACACCTAACAGACAGAACCATAGAGAGGGCGGCATCTGGAGTGTCCGTGCATCATTGCGCTGTGTGTTGTGGTGTGCTGGCGGACCATGTGAGTGTGACGGTGAGTGGTGCGTCGGTCTGTTGTGTTTGCGATTCGGATATGAGGCCTTGCAGGCACCGACGGAACAAACCTTGACGGAAACAAGGAGGAATGAATGCAATTGAAACGCTGATAGAGGAATGTCAGTACGGCCTTTTTACCTGGCCCTTCGCTGCCATCCTGGCCCTCTACGAACCATCCCTGTGCAAGGAGAGGACAAGCATTGCGATGCACGGAGGGAGGGATGTGTGTGCCGTCTTTCTTTTTTCTCATCACCCTGTCCTGCCCCGGCGGGCCGATAAGGATGATAGCGTTGTGCTGACAGGCATCAAGGCACAGATGGATGGATGGATGGAAAAGATGTGCTCACCTCCCCTTTGTGTGCAAACTGCTGAAGCGACGCCACACCATCTTGATACAGCACCTCCAGGTCCGTCGAGGGCTTGTATATCCGGTCAAAGTCATACCTGCATACCAACAACAACAAGGCCACACGTGCACGAACGCGGCCATGAGCATTCATCTATCCAACTATCACCTGTCGACGTCGCTGGCCGTCCGCTGATGAGCGGACGGCAGATGGAGACTCTTGCCATCCGCTGATGTGCACTGGCTGATACCGGGCTCCGACGCCGACGTCAAGCGGACCACCGCCTTCATCGTCAACTCTCATTCGCCTCCCCCTCCCATCGTAAACGCACTTGTTGATGGGATGTGGTCCAAAAAGATCTCCGCTTTCGTTCGTCCTCAACGCACTCCCCGTCAGATTCACGTCGTCGACGACCCATCCCGGCTCACTTACGAGTCATTCGTACAAAAGTTCATGGCTCCCCGGGTGCCTGTGGTGCTGCGTGGCCTTGCAGAGGGTTGGCCGGCGGCTGCAAAGTGGCAGAAGGATGGCGTGCCTGACATCCAACGACTTCGGCGTGAGCATGCTGATGTGCCTGTGTCTGTGGAGAGATGTCGAATTGGTGATGGGTTTGAGTGCGAGGAGATGGGTCTGCACGCCTTCCTGGACTACTGGGAGCGCCGCGGCGAGGCTGATGACGATCCATTGCTCTATCTGAAGGACTGGCGCTACGTCGAGGAGGTGCTCAGGGGCGACTCTTCTTCTCTCTATCCCGTGCCGAGCTTCTTTGCTGACGATTGGCTCAACAAATACCGGTTGCAGCCTTCTGAGGACTATCGATTCGTCTACTGGGGTGAGCACAGCACATAACTCACAAGTATGCCTTGCGCATATGGCTTTCGGTCCTGCACCTCATGCAGGTAAGGCAGGGACGACGACGCCGATCCATATGGATGTGCTGGGAAGCAACAGCTGGTCAGCCAATATCGTTGGCAGGAAACGGTGGCGCTTCTTCGATCCAGACGACGCCCACATGCTCATGGATGCGTCAGGGACATCCCTCGTGCCCGACCTGAGGAGCTACGACAAGAGGAAGTTCCCGGATGTCAGCCGTGCGCCGTATGTGGAGGTTGAGAGCTGTGGAGGCGATGTTGTGTTTGTGCCTGGCGGGTGGTATCACCAGGTGTGCAATGAAACGGACTGCATGGCCATCAATCACAACTGGGTCAGTGCAAGGGTGTGGATGAGGAACACATACTGTTTCTTTGATACGGTCTCTCTCTCTCTCTCTCTGTGTGTGTGTGTGTGTGTGTGTCAGATCAACGCTCTGAATATTCGTGACATGCTGCGGGTTTTGGTGTTGGATCTGAAAGCCATCGCAACGCGCCACGGCCACCCGCCACCCTCATCCATCTGCCAGGCTCAGCTCAAGGAGAACAACAGCGTCGATCTGCCCGGTTTTGCCCGCTTCCTCATTCGGGCTGCTGCTGGAGAGATGGCAGCCTATCGGCAGCTCTCAGCAGAGGCTGTGAATGGGGACAGTGAGTGCGTGCCCGTGGAGGTAGCGATGAAGCTGCTGTCCCTCTATCGCATCGGCCACATCCTGACATCGCTCGAGCTGGCGGGCCTCCTGCAGTCCGCCACCAGCTCGGCTGTCATTCCCACTGTGCACAAGATCGGAATCCTTCTGCGCCATTATCCGCACAAGGAGAAGGCATTTGCTGTCATCGAGAGGTACCTGCGTGTGCCGCGTCACAGTACAGACGAGCAACTGCAGCTGGACCCTTTGGTCATGTACGTGGCTGACGGTCGCGGTCATGCGGGTGTGGGAGGCAGGGAGGAGCTGCGCCATGCATGGGTGAGGGTGCAGAGTGAGGGGTGGGTGTTTGATGTGGGAAAGGAAGACGGCCTGGATGATGTCGTGGCTTTTGGCGGGGAGGCGGTGACTGAGGCACGGACCTCATGTTGATAGATATACTAAGCTAGCCATGCTGGCAATGTTCTGCGCTTGTCCCCAGCCACTGAATTCGTGCAAATTAGTGCAAATTGCGATCCGCAAGCTCAAATGCATGCAGGGGGCGTCTGCGGGCTCCTTCCTCCCCCGAAATCCTTTTCTCCCCATGACAGACGTGTGGTGTGAGCTCAGCCGCTTCGAGGACGACCGTCTGCGCACCCTCCGTAAGAAGAAGCGCCGTGCGGCCCTCACCAATGAGCTGCCCCTCACCGACGCCCAGCTGGACGCATGCCGCTACACGGGGGCCCTGCACAGCACATTCCTGGGCACCAAGACTTTCAGCGGCAAAGGCAAATACACCTGGGGAGACGGCGCGACGTACGAGGGAGGCTATGTGGACAACTGCATCGACGGTGAAGGGGTCTACCGGTGGCCCGACGGCAGCTTGTATCAAGGACAGGTATATGTGGCGCGGGGTCGGCTGACGCGCACACGGTGTTTTTGTGTGTGTCTTTGTGCAGTTTGTCCAAGGCATTCGAGATGGGACGGGCACGTTCACTTCAGCGGATGGGTGAGGCTGGACACACACGAAAAAGGAAGAAGTGAGCATGGCAAGCCGTTCACATGCAGGTGCATTCGTTATGTGGGCGGGTGGCTGAAGGGCCAGCGCCACGGCAGCGGCGTGCTCACCTACTTCGAGTCGGCACAGAGCTCCGAAGCCGCACCAACCGCCATATACGACGGTATTCATCCCTGTGTTCTTAAGCTTCACCTTCACCTCAAAAGTGTGTGTCTTGGTGCTGTGGTTGGTGGTTGTAAGGTCAGTGGTACCACGGGAAGAAGCAGGGCCAGGGCAGGCAGGTCTATCCATCAGGCAGCATATACAACGGTATTAGGCACATGCAGCACACAAAAGGATCCTCATCGTGTGTATGCGCTCTGGTCGATCAGGCGAGTGGCGCGACGGCCTGCAATGCGGCCAGGGTGCCATGTGGTGGCCAACCAATGAATTGTACAAAGGTGGGTGAGACACAACCGACTGGCAATGCTTATGATTGGGGCGGGCGGCTTACCTCCTGCCGTGGTGGCTGCTGGTTCATGCAGGCGAGTGGTACAATGGAAGGCCCCACGGCCGGGGCATCTACATATGGGGCGACCCGCCACAGCCAAGTCGGTGACACCAGCGACAAAACAGAGAGATTTGTCTTTTTCGCGTCCATGTATCAGAACCTCCTGCCGAAGGGAGAGAGGAAGTCCTGTCTCTGCCGAATGCCGCGGGCAGCGGTGTGCCGTCCCCCTTGGAGCCGTCGGCTGCCCACGGCCCCTCGAGTGCGCTCACTCAGCAGCTTCTCAACAAATATGACGGACAGTGGCGGGTGAGACACCGCCAGCCACAGAGGCACGTCCATGCGCGCATCTGTGTGTATGCATGTGGGCATCAGGACGGTGCCCGGCACGGCCGGGGGACTTTCTGGTACGCCAATGGGGCCAAGTACGATGGCGTATGGGTGAAGGACGAGAAGCACGGGCATGGTCGGTTCACCTTTGAGGACGGCAGCGTGTATGAGGGGCCGTTCGAACACGACAGGATGACACAGAGACAGCCTGCTGTGCCGCCCCCAGGAACCGTATATATGTCACACGAGAGGATGACACAGAGACAAGTCCATATAGGTAGGATAGGATCTGTGTGTGCGTGCGTGCAATAGGTGTTGCACACGGGCCGTGAGGACAACCCCATTAAGAACTGCACAGACCTCTCGGACATTCGGGACATTGAGACCGCTCGGCTGGGTGTGGCAGAGACGGCACAGGACTTCAAGAAGACGTACAACACGCTGCTGAGGGCTCTCAGCGACCTCAGGCACATATACGGACGATACCGGTGAGCGTGACGTGACGTATGGACAGATCGGTGCATATGTACTGTTTCTTTGCTGTTTCTTTCCTCTCTCCAGTGCTGTGCTTCGTGGCGCCAACCAAGATCCTTACGCGATGACGCAGCTCCAATTCTGGATCCTGGCCCGTGACGCACAAATTCTCTCCCCTCGCATACCAATCGCCGCACTCAACCGGGTGAGTAGCTTGGGTCCCAGCCCCAGATGCAACAAACACATTATCCATCCATCCATCCGTATGTGTGCTTCCCTGGCCAGCTGTTGGCGAGCGGGCCCCGCAGCGCCGATCCGTTAGAGAGACTGACCACCGACACCTCCGCGTCTTCCACCGAATCAGCCACCCACGGCCCAGCCCAACCTGCTGCTTCCTCTGCGGCTGTCCCCGGTCCCCCGCCCGCCAAGAGGCCTCCCGCGTCTCGGACCAAGAGCGAGGGTGGAGTGCCGCCTCAGGGGGCGGTGGGGTCGGCGTCGTCAGGCTCTTCGGGATCGAAATCACGGACCTCTTCTCGCGGGAAGAGCAAGGCGCTACCCCCATCGCCGCTCCGTGTGGCGGAGGGGGAGGGAGAGGAGAACAAGGGAGACACCGGGGGGGAGGGGGTGAAGCTAGGTAGGGGCGTAGGGACACAGAGAGTGGGGAGGGGCGAGGACGGATTGTGCGCGTTATTGTCATTTGTGTGAGTCTTGTGCATCCAGAGTCGGTGCTGAAGAGCTCCGATGCCAAGAAGGGGGAGGTCTCATCGACGGAGGACCGCTCCAAGCCGAGTGTGACGATATCAGCTGAGGAGAGGGTGGAGAGCTACCCCATGATCATCATGGACCCGGACGAGGCGTATAAAGTCATCGCACAAAGATGGAAACCAAAGGCAAAGCAGCACAGTACACACACACAACCGAGGAGACAACACATGTGCATCGTCTCTCTCCCCTATACATGCAGCCCGGCGAGGAGCCAGAGGGTGCGACCATCCGTGAAGTGCACAGCGAGGCCACGCCCATCCTGCTGCGCGAGTTCCTCGAGGCCCTCTGCCGCCTCGCGCAGGCGCTCTTAACTACAGAGCCCACCCTTGAGAAGAAGGTACAGCGCCTCATGACCGACCACCTGCAGAAGCTGCCCATCTACGAGGGAGGCGGGCTGAGCATCTTCGGCCTCTCACGGGCGGACGGCATCCAGTCGTGCTGGTCGGCGATGCAGCCCAGCATACAACAGCTGTTCGACCTGTATGCGAGCAGCAGCAGCAGTTATGTGGCGGGAAGGCGCGATGTCACCATCCGTGTCAGAGACTGCCTTGCCGTTGTCGAAGTGAGCGAGCTGCCGAGCACCAAATGGAAAAAATGTCTGTCTCTGTCCGTGTCAGCGTCTGGGCTTCCTGTGTGAGCCGGCCCGGGAAGAGTGTGCTGACGACTTGGGTCAGAACACCATGTCGCTGCAGCCGGTGCGGGACGCCAAGCAGATGGAGGAGGAGGCCGGCGGATCGCATGCTGATGCAAAATCAGGTGGGTGTGGACGTGGGTGTGGTGCAGCTCTTCATGGCTACTGTGCATGTGTTGCTTACGGGTTCTTGATCTCCAGACGCCCACCCCCTCAATGGGACGATGAAGTCAGAGCGCTCCTCCGTAGGCAGCGCATCCAAAGAGCCGTCATGTCAGATAGACTCTGGCAAATGTGTCGGCTGGTTCTATGTACGCATTAGGGTGGCGGTATGTCTGACGTGCAGTCTCGTCGTCATTCGTTCTTCCTGGGTGAGGAGGCCGACAACGCCAGCGTCGCAAGTGGGGTCTCGAGACCAGTCACGCCGGAAGGTGCGGCAGCCAGCACATGTGTGCAGATCACGTGACTTGGGTGATCGACCGCTGCTCTTGCCCTTTGTCAGGCCGGGATCGCGACTTCATGGACGGCTCCCCCGGCTCCGCACAGGGTGGCTGAGACACCCAGATGATGACTGTGGTTGACGGGCACCTGACACGTGTGTGTGTGTGTGTGTTGACTCTACAGGTGGCAAGGAAAGCCAGGCTGAGCGCATGGAGCGATACTCAAGTACGTGTGTTTGCCTGACATGTCACGCACAACGGTGTGTCGTCGTGCCTGGCCTGCAGGGACGTCATTTCGGCTCACCCCGATGGAGGCGCTGACCATTCTAGCGGAGGTCTTCCCGCCGGCAACACTCACGACAGTCACCAGGTGCTGACTGACTGACATGCAATGCACGAGACCAGCAACAACACTGGACATGTGTGTGGTTGATCCATGTGCTCATTCATCACGAACGCAGGTACGGCATGAGTGCTGGCGACAGTGAAGGCATCAGCCTGCTTGACTACCTCGCCACGGAGCTCGTCTACTTCGAATTTGAACGGTTCTTCGTCCGACTTGCCGACTACAAGGTGAGACAGACCCGCACACTCACGTGGGCACTCATGACTCATTAATGTCTGTCTCCCCCATGTCTCTCTCCCTGCAGACGTCCGAGTTTGCGGAGATTCCCCTCTCCGACCGGCTGGAGTTCTTCTTCTCCACGGCCTTCGCACCGTCACTCACAAAGCGGTACACTCCACCAGAGCTGCCGGCACCCGAGCCACCACAGGAAGAGCCACCGAAAGAGGATGCCGCGGAGCCACCACCACCCAAAGAAGAGTCGCCGACAGGTGCGTGTCTGTCTGTCTGTCTGTCTGTCGATGCGTTTTGGTGCAACAGATGACGGATTTGTGTATGATTGTCAGGCAAGAAGGACGCAAAGGACAAGAAGGGGGCCCCTCCGCCACCCCCCGAGCCACCTGTTGAGGCAGAGGCGCCGCCACCACCCGAGCCAGAGCCAACCAAGAAAGAGCTGTGGAAGGGATTCACTGGAGTGCCAGAAGAAGCGCCCTTCCCTGCTGATGTCCTCTCTCCTGCTGCTGCTGCTGCTGCCGAGAAGGGTGATACGGAGATGGGCGGCGAGTGTCTCGTCTTCCCTGCTGGCTATGAGGATGAGCTCGATGCCTGTGATGCCAAGTATGCGGCGGAGCGGGCGCGGCTGCTCATGGGGGATGGGGATGGGGAGGAGAGGGAGGCAGAAGAGGCAGATGAGGAAGAGAAGGAGGACGCATAGACAAAGAGTGGGGGGGACCTTTGTGTGTCGGATGTTTTCACGCATACATACGCCGTCAGGTGGTTCGGTGTGCAAATAGGCTACTAAACAAACATCTACAAATGACCAGTCCGAGTCCCCCTCCTCCCCTCCCCTCCGCGGCCCCCTCCTCCCCTCCC